TCGGATTATTTTTAATATTTCAATGGGGGTGAGAATCATTATGAAGCAAATGCAAGCGTTTGCGACATTGGGAATATAGTTCGTCGTGACGATCAAGCAAAGTATTAGGAATTTTCGCCGATTTCAAGTCAAACTCCCTCACTGCCTCGTAATTAATACATAACTTACTAACTTGAGCCCGTTACTCACCGTGGAGGATCATAGGTCGCTCACCAGCATTCTTCATCCAACTGTCCTAGGCAATCCCCACCAGTTGGCTCCAGTTGCAATTAATCCCTCTCATGTCTGCTTCCGATTCCCGACATAGTGTATTCTTTGGCCTTCCACTTTTTAGTTTTCCTTCAGAATTCCAAATAACGGCTTGCCTCGGGACGCAGCTTGATGTTTCCCGTAATGTATGTTTTATACTCTTCCTATTTTCCTCTTCAGCTCGAAGGCAGTATGTTCTCTCCCACAGTAGGTGATTGCTGATGGTACCCCGTCAACGCTTGTTCAGTACATTGAATAGACAACTGTTTATGAATATTTGTACTCTTTTGATTATGGTTGTCGCAGTTCTTCAAATTTCAGCTTCATACAGTATAACCATCTTGATGCTTGCATTCAAGATTCTCGTTTTGATATCGGTTGACAGATGATTTACGTTCCACATGTTCTTCAACTGCAGGAATGCTGTTCTTTCTCTTTCAGTTCCTGCCTTTACGTTTGCATTGGATCCTCCTTTTCCACCTGTAGAATTATGGTCTACTTCTGTATTAGCACTGCTTTAATAATAGACCTAATCCTAAAATTGTAGATTTGTTAGGTTGTAACTGCCTAATCTATAAGATCTTACGTGAAAGTCACATCATTGTCTACACTGACTCATCGTATCTTAACAGTTACCAGTATATGATGGAGAACACATTCAGGCTGGTGATAAAACAATATATTTGATATGAATAAAAGGTTTAGGACAACACACACAGCCGCGCCATCCCAGCCGATCAATTTGAACTAGTTGTATTTATTCTTCCCGCCCTCCCCATAGTTTTGTCTTTCTCTGCGGTAAATGCTGAATATCTGTTGTCCTAGTTATCTCCTGTTTAGCTTAGAAGATTGTTTGGTTAGGGCCCAATGCCACTAGACACCGATGACGATGCTGTCCAGGCACGTGAAAGTTTCCACCTCTTCCAGAGCTTCTTTATCAAGTGCGGTTGAGTTGGTTTCCTCCATGCTGTATTTAAGGATCTCGCTTTCTTCCTTATGTATGTTGAGGCCTAGTGCCACATGATAGCTCTCAAGTAGCTTGCACATAAATTGCATTTTGTGCTTCTATCTCATTTGATCATAACTATTTGACTTTAAACCCTGGCTGAATATCCATCGATTATCACTTCACACTTTTATGGAGTCAGCACTGCGTGTATTTCTGAAGTCATTAGAAATCTTAGTACTTTGTTTGTCTGAGTAGGCGGCGTACGTAGGCGCATTTAATGTATTTCTATTTTTCGAGTTTCAAAATATCGGGCTTTCTGTAACGATTACAGATCAGAGAAACATATAGGTTTTCACCATTCACCACAGTAAATTTTTGGCTCATGTAATTTTTGCTACGGAAGTGATTGCTTTATTACTTCATTGGCAGTCACCCAACAGTAAGGTAATGTGTTTAAAGTGTCCTTTACTTTTGTTTTTACTAATTTTTTCGTCATTGTCTTTCAAATACAACACATATTTGTGTAAATACTTATGGTCGGGCCTATCTTCACACGTTTATTCACTCTACTGTTTCTCAACGCTTATTTAAATGACGACCCATTGCTAGGCTTTGTCGATATTTTAGTGGTCGTGTTGTAAAAATGAGACCAATTATTTTGTCCTAAAAGGTTTTGCACGTCGTTTGATGACTAAGAAATGATGTTTTTGGCAGGCCATTAGTACTTCTCACTGAAGTAGTAGTTGGTATTCTTTTTGAATGTTCGTTGTATAAGATAGTGGTGGTTGTGTACGATGTCACTTTTCAGTGGGTCATAGAATTCCACCGCTGACTTAATTTTCGGGGCGAAATAAACAAAGTTATCGACTGCAGATATAGTGTCTCAACGACTTATTCATTTTCATAAGTATGAACACGCCTTTTGAATGCCTCAGACTAGGGGTATTGAGCGTAGTTCTGGAAGTTATTTATTCGCTATGAGTAAGTTGCCCTGGCTTTCATTAATGCTTCAAGCAAAACACCGAATAACCTTTGATAGTAGTGTATCAGTTGTTTAATAATTAATAGCTTAAAACCATGTGGAAGGAAAAGTCAGCAAATCCACACTTTTATGCACTCTAGTCAGACGACAGTCGCATGTTGAAGTATATGGCGACTTAGGCTGCGTAACATGTGGCTTTACAAACTTTCGCTGGCTGAATTCATCCGTCCAGCATTATTAATCCAACCTTTCAGTCTACAGTTTCGGTGAAAAGTAGATGTTGATTAAAAAAATTAAGGTTTGCTTAGGATGGCTTAGAATGTCTCTGAAGGTAGACGTTCGAAAGTAAGTAGCCAGGCACGTATATGTTTGCATTGACGAGTTTCGGTTGCTTCAATTTTAAAAGCGTATTGAGATTTATTTATTTAAATACAAACGTTGGTGCAAAGAGGCATCAAATATATGCGCTATAAATGTTTTGTTCGAGGGCTGGGATACTACCCGGGCTCCCAAACCAAGGCAGGTGGTTTCCTTAGGGGGCCACTTCACGAGCCACGAGGAGACAGTGAGCAGGACTTCCCTGTCAATGGCTGTATACACGTGACCATGTGAGAGCATTTGGATAGGAAGAGCTGACTCTCCCCACTCTCGGGTGTACCAGAGAATTCAGGGGCTCGCGAAATGAGTGCAAATGTACGTAGTTCTTATATTATTGTTATCGTTTCCTTTACATATTAGCTGTATTTTTCTTTGTGCTGGGTGATTCAGACGAGGTTTTCCTCTTCGTTCTAGATATGTTTTGAAGTAATAGTGACTTACCTAGATAAGTGTTCTTAAGATTTGCATACACCATAATAGCGATCAGACAGCAATTGAAGTGTTGTGTGGCCGAAATCCTAGGTCGTTTTAGTGACGGAGATTGGTAATTTGAGTTTTAGTCTTAGTTATACTTGGTTGTCTAACGTGTCAAAGGATTCTGCGTTAACTACTACAAAACCAATTTATCACGGTACAATGTAATCCCCAGACTTTACAGACTTGAATTCTTGACAATTTACTTTTAGTCACCCTCGGACTATCTAAAATCAATGTATTAAAGCTCATTTATCTCGTATGCTGACTCCCCACTCTCGGCATTTGAGGCAAATAGAAACAATAACAGGGCGGATTTGCAAGCATACAACATATATTTCTCTTTGAACCTAGCACACAATAACACCGTCATGAACTATCCCATCGTTCTTGGCAGATCAGGAAACCCGGAAGTCACGAAAACATCAGGACATACATCGGGCTAGGTATTATAATATAAAGTTTGGAAGTCTACACGAATAACTAACCATTGTCTTCGTTTAAACTTAAGGCTAGAACTCGGCAATTAAGCTCAGAACAATTGCGCAACGAGCTTACACTTAGTTTGGTCTATACTAGCCTTCACTGTAAATTAAACTTAAAGTATGCATGAAGACAGAAAAAGCTGCCAGGCTGCACCGTTATTCTATACTTAGACCTAAATCCGCTTGAGTTTGTTGTTCGCATTTATCAGTGAAGAATATGTGTTAATAATGCAGTCGGATTTCAGGGGTCGAGAGTTGTACTCCACACAGTATGTTTTACGTTACTGGAATGAAAGTGAAGCAAGTGAATAAATGCAACAGTCAAGTTTCCCTTTTTTTGTAAACGAACAGGTAAGCTATCTACAGTGGCAATTATCTTAACATATTTGACTGATTTCTCAGTAGGTGCTGTTCTTGGATTTTCCATACTATAGTCTACTGTTTTCTAACAGTGGTGTTTAGTTTACCTGTTTGCATCTTAGCACCCGTTGTGCATATAAAAATGAGTAAAACTAGTTTCAGCACAACAATAAAGTGGTACTGAAATAGCATAATTAATGTTTACTTATACCTCAAGTGATTAAGTCATGTCACTGCAAAAAAATGTTTTGCTAACAACTGAGTCACGCTTAATTAAAAAATCACTTAGAATTCCATTTATGCTACATTGACAGTAAATTCCTTTTTCTTATTGTCCTTATAAACGCACTCAATGGAAACTATTCGAAGTTTTCTAGCCTTTGAAATTTCCAGTTATCTACAGAGGCCAACTACTGTTGATATAATTTCGGACTATTTTTCTGGCTTTTGATTGACACTGTGATTCGAGGCTTATTAACTTCAATCTAAACACGTTTGTGACTGCTTACATTCCGTTACATGAAGATTTTAATGATCAAATCGGCCGATTAGTTGACCATGTGGGAATACAGGAGTTTTCATAGCTGTCTGGCTAACACTTGCTAGATAGTATTTTTGTTGACTTTTTTTATAGGTAACATCTATGTAGCTTTATTGTGTCTCTTATATTTTTTCATTTTTTGGTACTCTTCATGAATTCATTAGTACTCTCGTTTAACCCTGTTCTACTCAGTCTTAGGTAGGTGGTGTTTCGTTACCATTGTGTCTTTTGTTCACCGTAAGTGTTTTGATTTTGCGTTTATTTAAAAGTGTTTATTAGTTGAGTTGTTAATTATTTATTTTTCAGGCGTTAAATTTTTCATGAAACCGCTACAACTGTCCAATGAGAATTTATCTGAATTTGTGCAGTCGAATACGTTGGAGTCTGATTCAGGAGATTGTTTTGGTGTAAATGTTTACGAGTTTCAAGAAGGAGAAGATCTTTATGGTCCCCGTGCACGCGGTTATCAAAAACCTAAACATATGTGGATGGCCAAAGACCAAGCCCTAACGAATAATAAGTCAAACAGTCCAACTCCAGCGACAACTCTAGATTTTGGAAGCGATTGTTGCACCACTCAGAATGGTTGCACTTCTGTTCCTTCTGGTAATTGAGATGTCCATCACCAAATAATATGACGTACACCATGGGTTCCCCATCAACATCTGGTAGTATCCAGGGCCTTTCAACAGCCCTATCGTCTTGTACCAACACAAGCAATAGTTTATGTAGTCATACCTCTCCAGTTATCGGTTTAAATATGACTGAAGTCACTAGCACATTTGAAAGCCCTACTTTCATTGAAGGAAAAACTGAAAAAAGTGCACTGCTCACTTGTGAAATAAACTCTGTGATTAAAAAATCTAAATCCAGTGTCAAACTAACTACCAAAAACGAACTACCGGAAAATATTCCCTAAAGAAATTTGAATCTAGCAGTAATACTAATTCATCTGTACCTGATACCAGTAAAGTTCAATCATCAAATAATAAACAGTCTTATTCTCACAGGCATCGACAACCTCGTTCTCGCAACAATCGAAAGTCTAAACGAAATTCTGTAAGTGAATCATCGTTAACTTCGTTTTATCCAACCCAAACTCCTAATTTGTCAACAGATAACCACCTGTCTTTATCACCCAGTTTGACTATGACGGAACAGATAAGCCAAGAATCTCCTATCCAAGCACCTATGTATTCCAAAGGTTTAACTTCATCGTCTTTCGTTTCTGGTGGACTGAAAATTCGGCTTCGTCGGGACTCAGCTATAGATTTCAATATTGGGAAAGGTAAACGAGCTAAAAGTAAAACGGCTCCTGCAACATTTCGTATTGTAGAGTCGTGGTGTGATGCAGATGCTCCAGGAGGAGACTTTACCAGAAGGGCCAGGGCAGTTACCAGTAATTCTACTTCCCCTACATTTAGTCTGGTCTCAGGGGGATTACGTGTTGGTGATATAGTATGGGCTAAACTTGCTGGCTATCCGTATTGGCCATCCCAGGTTAACGCTATCTGGGCTCGCACTGCCCATCAACTTTCTCAAGCCACTCTACTTCCAACTTCACAGTCATTGGACGGCAGTGCGTCATCTTTGGCTGTTCTTGCGACTCCTTCAGATCCAAGTTTGGCGGCTGGATATACTGCTCGCGTTGACTGGCTTGCTTGGGATCAGTGTTCTTATTTAAGCTGTGCTAAGTTGTACCCTTTTAAAGAGTCTTTTGATAAACTTTATAATCCACGTACCGGGTAAAAGGATACGCAGAAGCTGTGCGCCTTGCGAAGCAAATTGTGAATGGGACCTATATTCCCAATGAAAATTTGGATTCTCAGTTGTCGTGTATGTCTCCACAAAATAAATCTCATTCATCATTGTCTGGTCAGATTTCGGCGCCACCTAGTACTGATAGCCAGTGGTCATCTATGACAACTCTTTCATCTTCCCTAGAAATTCCGACTACAGGTACTAGTAATCAAACTTCTCGTGAATTAATGGACAAACACACCATACTGTTGCCATCTGAATTACCACCAGATCCCTATATATCATCACAATTAAGTCCATCTCCCCATTCAGTCACGAACCTCTACTCTGGTGAGGGATTAGTGAGAACTTCAGACGCATTTTCATCTACATCTAATAACTCATGCCTTCTAATTGGTGATAAAAGCCTGGAACTGCCTGAATTGGACAATATGGCATTGTGGGCTCCTCTTCCCCAATTAGATGTTTCAGGTCTTGGTGTTTTCCATGTTCCGACCTTTCAGAAGATGAGGAAGAATTGGATCAATCCATTGTGAACCAGCTGCACTTAGATTTCGGTTCATGTCTGCAATAATGATACAATAGCCATAATCGTGATATTAACAAGAAGGTAATGCTTTTTTTATCTCCAATCTTTCAAAACACAAAGTGTATCATTTTTTGTTTATTCTTGTTTTTTCTCTCAATATCTCTCCTTAATTGTGATAGATCTACACTTAATCTATGAAAATATTCTGGTGCCTATTTATGATATTGCCCCACCCTTGGGTTTGTTTTTGCCATCCTCCATTACATTTACTAGACTCCTATTAACCGAATATCACTTTTGATTTTACAAATCGTTTACTAGTAGTTCACGCCCAGTTTGCAGCAGTCAAAATTTGGAATTGTGTATATTAAATAAGAATCACTTATGTGTTACAGTTACTGTTGTTATTGTCACTTTATACGAAGCTGCAAAGTCATGTATCGCACAGATCATCTCAATAAACTCATGTATTCAGGTATTTATATAATGTAGTAACTATGTATTAAGAAATTCAATTTTAACTTCTATCCAATTTTTTTGTGCATATAAATATGGTTGCATGTGTTTCTATTTTTCATTGAATTTTTTGTACACATGCTCCAGCTTGTTATTTCTTCTTTTCTTTTAAATATCTGTTGTTCATTCACACATAAGAGTAACACATTTATGATCTGAATTGTCTGTTCAAGAATGTGTATTTACTGTTTCTATACCCAGTCATCTTCATATGGGATTGAAAAAGTAATCTCAGCTTCGTCTTCTTTTTTTTATTTATTATTATTATGGGATTTTCCTATTTAGACATAATTGTCACCCTTATCTTTTAAAGAAAACAAACTGTGCTCATTTCTTGTATAAATATTATTTTTAAAGTTTAAAAAAAATATCCTTTATCCTATATACAGTTATTATTCTATTCGTATTGCAGTTTGATTTGAGATCATGAATGAAATAATCCGTCTTTGTAGTTTGTTTGTTTTTCTTTTTCCTTTAAATGCTCACTTATTTTCTGGTCTCGAATTTTATATATATATATATATATATATATATATATATATATATATATATATATATATGATTTCACAAGTAAATCAGCTTACTGAATTTTCATGTTAATTTTTTTAAAAATTGGGTTGCTCATTTATCCCCATAATGTTTATTGCTCATCATTTCTATAGCAACTAATTTCTTTTAGATATAGGGAATCTTACGTAAAATTATGTTTCATTTAGTTTAGTTATTACTCACTAAAGACTAAATGTCTAGAAATATTTATCTGATTTCATTAGGTATAGGTGATTTCGAATTAGATGTCATTGAAATCATCAAGCGGATCATTATTGACTTGTGGAATAATAAATAGTATGTTTGATCGGTTTACCTTCAATTGTGAAAGTTTATGTTTTATACTAACTATCGATAACGTTTTGTAGACAGTGCTTACCAGTAATGTAATGAGGGCCCCCAATTGCTTTGGTATGGCTGAGAGTGGGGAGAGTCACCTCTCCATCTTCTAATGCTCTCACATGGCCACGTGCATGCAACCACTGATAGGGAAGTCCTACTCACTGCATTCTTGCACCACGGGTTTTGTTTACGAAATCGAGAGGATGAAAAGCGAATGTCCGACGCTTTAACCAGGTTGGTGGATATGTAGAGTCCACCTAGAGGAGTTGGAAATCCCTGATTGCAAACCAATGGTGGAGATGGGCTCTAGGATCCTGAAGGAATAAATGGCGCATGAAATGATCGCCGGTCACCAGTAACCATGAAACTGCATCTCCTTACATTGCTCCACTGCCTTGTGGTTTAGACCTTTAGGTCAAAGGTTCGGGATGTGACCCCCTTCGAAATCCACCTGCTTCAGTTTGGGTACCTGGGTAGTATCTCAGCCCTCACACAAATCGAATGATTTATGTGGCGCATATCTAGTTGGTGCCTCTTTGCATCAATGTTTATGTGTTTAAATAAAATAATGTAGTGGGATAACTAGTGAGGATTTTGTAAGTACTACATTTTTTGATTAATACACGTATGCGTTAAAGTAAATTGTCTTTCCAACTTAAGCACAAATATACTAAGGATTTTGTGTAACATTCATTTTTTAGAAATCCAGGTTGGGTTTTTGTTTAAGTAACAAAGGGATTTTCAAAATATTCGTACATCATCTACTTAATATGACATTTTGTCAGTGACAAAGTGGGAAACTGATCGGATAGATTTATTTATTATATAGTATTTCTTCTAGACTTTTATGTATTATAACGTAGACAGTAAACTTCTCCATTGTTTAAAGTTACAAAATGTAAGAATATTTTGGCATAGGTACAGTAATTTCTTGAACATAGATTAAGATACAAAATTACGTATATTTTCAAATGCTTGACGTTAGATCAAGTTGTTAATATTTTTAATTCATAGTCTTCATTTTTTTGATAAACCCATTAAAAGGGAAATCTTATAATACGGATTAGTTTTGATGTGATGTTAATGTATCCTACTATTCTTTTCGATTACGATCGTGTTCACTGAATTCCGCATTCTTTAAGAGTATTGGAAACTAGATCCTTATTTAAATGCATTTATGGAGAAATAGTGTTGTGGTCTGTAGAATAAGTTCTTTTTATTTAATACTATCATGGTATATTGCAGTCATGTACCAGATCACCTCACTGCAGTATATGAAAATGTGAGGGACTAAATCATTAAGTTTAAGAACGGAAATAAATATGTAGCCTTAGTTGGCATATAACTCTGCTTCGGTCTGGGCACCCGGACAGTATCACAGCCTACACACAAATCAAGTGACTTGTATATCGCATATGTATTCGCTGCCCCTTTGCACCAACATTTATTTATTTAAATAAATATAACCCTCATAACTGATAAATTTAAGTGGAATATATGATGAAATTTGCCATGTAAAACTGTTTAGTATAACTGAGTCATCAAGGCCATTAAACCTCCTTATTCCTCGGAAAAGATTTTGGTCGCCAAACCATTGAATAAAGACTGGGTGGATGTAATTATAATTAATATAATATGCAATTCTAGTGACATCAGTAATGCAGACCGCGATGGTTGTTTCACTACAGTCTGACGAAATAACTATATCATGGTCTAGGTGCTAATGCCGATATAGAGTGTCGTATGTGACGATAAAATACTGGTTTCCGCTTGATACGGCATTCGAGGTCAGCGCAGTCACTCTTACCGGTTCTAAGCATTTTTTTCTGCGACTTTGCTTTTACTTTTCCTAAATAGAAGTATCTTTTTTGTATTTTATGTTTGACGGCGAATGCATGCAAGCTTCTTGCTTCATTAAATATTCTAATCCTGTTTATTGACGTCAATTTAATGTATCCTCATAAGCAGTAAACCATAAAGGGGAAGGGGACACATTATAATATAAAAATCCCTTGCCGAGTGTTCACATCTCTTGATTGAACAAAGAATATCAATTGACTGCTAACAAACTGCCTGGTATCAGTTTATCAAACGCAATGTGACATCGACGAACCACCAAACATTTAAATTTCGGTATAAAAATGAATTTATTTTATTTGAATAGATTAATATTGGTGCAAGAGGGCACCAAATATATATGCGCCACAAAAAACAACGAGAATTCGAAGAGAAGAAAAGAAGGTAAGGAGAGCAAAGAAAAAGAACGATAACGAACAGATTAGTGTAAGGTAGTGTAATAGTAATAAAAATAATAATGGGGGAAACGGATAGGTACAATCAGAAGAAATCTTCCAGTTAAGGAAGAAACAACCACTTTTTATGAAGAAAGTAAAAGAAGGTTACAGCAGGATGGCCACAGGCTTCTATTCTGAGCCATATCTGATAACGTCTCTAGCCACTGTGTTGTACCATCTCTCGGACTCCAGTCAGGGAGACGTGAAGGACCAACCGAAGCCAGCCCTTTGCAGCCTTCTTTCATACCACGACACCACCTCTCCGCTTTTTCCAACTAGTCCCAACGTCGGCAAATAATGCACGACGTGGAATTCTCCGGGACGATATTCGTAGAACATGTCCAAGCCACCGAAGTCGGTGTTTCAAGATGGTGACACCAATTGAATTATCGTCTCTGTGCCCGAACACACGATGCCGAACCTCTTCATTACTAACGTGGTGTTGTCACTGGATGTCAGCAATACTTCGGAGACAACGGTGACCGAACACATGGTCGTCTAACATCCTCAGCTCGGAGAGGCCAAGTCTCACAAGCATAGAGCAAAACTGCTCTCACCGACGCGTTGTAGATCCTACCTTTTACAGCCAGACTAACATCACGCATATATATTTGGTGCCCTCTTGTACCAATATCTATGTGTTCAAATAAAATAAATAATACGGCCATGCCAGGGTATTCGGGAGCGTGAAAATATAACTAAGAGTAATGTGCGAAATCCAAACACAATTGAATTGATTAAATGTTAAATTTCACGGATCACAACTGGAGTAGGGCTTCAATTCTTCTTAATTTTAGTCCATGTCCAATAAAATTTCATGTTTACAATTAAAAATTAAATAGAAACCCATAAAACTGTCTTTACTCCGTAACGTTGTCTAGAAGTCATAGAGGGGCTCTGCACGAATGTTGATGGTCACTTTTTCCTAGCGTATTTGTAGTTGCTAAATTTCTAACAGCCTACCAAAGTTGATGAGTGTACAAGCGGGCATCTATGGTATTTATGTAACTTGAGGGGGAAGATGCAACCCTTATAAACCGTACAGCTGGCTTTGAACAGTGAAAGTGAATCCTTATATGCGTCACTGTTGCCTTTCAGATCCAGCTTTCTTCAGTCCATCTTTATGGCTACAATTCTGCAAATGATTAAAAGGAATGCTGATGTCAAGAAGTACGAGGGCTGTTAACCTGATATATGTGCGATGATTTTTATGCATCATCTGGAGCGTAAAGGTCAGCTCAGTGAACTTACTACTTAATTGAAATCCGGCTGGTTTGAACAAAGTTGAGGGATTATTTCATATTTTTATCTTCATTCCTGGAGGAAACTCGTAATAGTTCGTTTCAACTGAGTGACATTTGTTGTCTTAGCAGTCGACGTCTTTTCGCTTTATTCACCAAATGAGTCTGACTTGAGGCGTTAGAGCAGTGGGACAATCCTCTATGACCAGTATTTTTGGAGACTGGTTTCAAACACTGCTTCTTGCAAATTGTCAGGTACGTTCGTTACTTCTATTTTGAGGATAATAAAATACGAGATAAGAAACTGAAAGAGTCTAATCGGAAGTCAGCGTTTTGTATTAAGAAAGTATTTTTCGCCGTAAAAAGAATTTTATTCACCATACCTACTGTTTCCTGTAAGTAGAGGCGTTGCGCTCTTCAATGGAATCAAAGCTAGATTTAATCCACTATTCAGTTGCAATAATCGCAAAGTCCATTAAGCTGTAGTTATATTAATATTTCGAACAAATGAATTGGAACAGTGCATAAGCAATTCCGTTTTGTATTTAAATAGGGATTTCCGGAATAGTTTTGTATGCTTATGTAATTAAAGCCAGTTGTGGTTACTTTTAAAGATGACCGTAAACAGACATGTGGATATGTAGAAAATGCAACGTTAAAGCCTAGATTGTCGTTCTGATCGTTGACTTCATCGTCTATTCCTTTTAAATCCGGTAATAAACTTCTTCAAAACCATTTGAAGCAGTCTGATGATGATAAATCCGAAGTCATTTATTCTCTTTACCAAGTTAGTTTGCCATGAAGCATTCATTCGATATTTACTCACATCTAGTTGGGAACGATAGTTTAGTGGTGATAAAATAGTTAACTTACAACTAACTAACCGGTAACGGATTCGACTTTTAGACGACTTACTCAGGTCTGGATAGGTGAGTCGCATGACCAGCATTCAAACAAGAACCGTGAGTGCATATAAAGTTGTTCATCACTTTTTTCAATCTGTAATCTTACTAAGTTAGTATACTAGGAATGACTAAATTAGGTTAAAGATTTAAGTCCGATTTGTCAACTAATAAATTCACAATAAATCTATGTAACGCGCTTGCATAAAATTGTTCTGTCTGATAATGCATCATCCACTAAAAAGACTAATCTTGATAATTCATCTAGAAAACACCAGCAAATGAAGTCAGGGTCAACAAGTGTATTTTAACTGTAACTGGGTACTTTTATGTCCTAAGCCCCATAAAATATCACGTGATAAAATCGCCAATTAGGACACCGATTTATAAGAATTTGGCAGTGACAAACCAATGACGCGTTAACCAATACGAGCAGCATCGAGTCAACTCTTAGTCTTTATTGGTTCTTCTTGCCCGTTTAGATCAGAACAGTCTCAGCTTACACCGTGTGAATCATGCATTTCAGATATACGCAGTTTATATACAAACAAATCATACCATAAAATACAGAATAACAATTATGCAAGATCAAGTCGAAAGTGGTTGTAAGTGTGAGAGACTGTGACTAATAAATTTATAAAAACTTAAGAATAGTAAACCGTACAATAGTAGTCAATGGGAGCTTATAATAAAAGGAATATGAATATACATGCAATACAATTACTTAATAGTTAGCCAATAGTCCATAACTAATCCGTAGGCAGTTACCACTCATTTATTCATCGTTAGATATCAGGTACAACCCAACTACGGCGGTATTTCGTTATAATTGTCCGAAAACCATGATGTTCAAAAGCGTTGTTATCCACCGACAATATATGTATTAAGTACATGTTTAGGGCTACTGCATAAAATATCAATCAATCTTTAAAGCGTACTCATCATTTAGTTGTTTATTTGTAGTAAATCAACCGGAAATTACACCTACGTAGTTTACTTGATCCATTGTTTTGAACACACATAACACTGAATATTAATGGATTACCCACGAAACTCCAGCGTTTGTTGATCGATGATTATCTCATTAATTTTCCCAAATTATAAAAGTAGTCAAATATATTAGGTTGTTGACAGTCTTAGACATGTATATCACAACGTTCAAAACTGGGAATTTATGAAAAGTTCTGTTGTGACGGGTGGTGTCCGAAATCTGATCCTGACATACCATGTAGTTAAAGTAATCAGCTGTCAACTATTAGGTTCAAGGTCCGAATTTCGCATATATCGTTTTAGGTAAGCGAGTAAACAAATTCGTACTTTGTAAATAAGTTCTACTATTATGCTAGAAATTATAAACCTCATCGTGACATTTACTTATTACTTTTGTTTATTTTTCTGATACTTTCTTAAATCGTTCTATAGTCATAGTATATTTCCCCCCCCAAAGAAACCGGTTACTGATGAAGTTACAGTAAGGTTAAACTGATATAATAATTTTCTTGAGAGTGGGATGAGATACATTTCTTCAGATGTCTGAGCACTGACGGTATCAGAGGTGACGAAACCGCTTTCAGGGTCATCCCTACTCTCTCAAAATAGTAAGAAGTGTCTCTCAATTTCACGAACTTATTGCGGAGCGTCTCATGTAATAAATTTAGAATAAAACTGCTATATATACAATTACTCTTAACGGCACAAGAAAACAAACAGAATACTGCAAAAGACGTGTATAAAAGAAAACGGTAAGTGGTTGTGTACAAGGGTTTATATATGTATGAACAAAATAATTAACAGTTATGTTAGATTTCGTTAGTCATTATGGCTTCGTCCACCTGTCCCTCCACCACCTCCTCCTCCTTCACGTACTTCAATTTGAAATTTATACTCTTGATCACAACCCATATACGCATCTGACATAAAAAACAAAGTGAATTCATGACGACCTGAATGGTTTGGTGCATTCAAATCTAAGCGAACTTTCATTGATTGTGAAACAAATAGGCGCTTGATTGCAACTAATGAATTTGTTTTTACTTCTCCAACTACCAACCACCAACCTTCTTCACGGGGCTACAAAATAACAAAAATTAAAATCAAACGTTTGTTTAGTTAAATCTATAAATTAATTTGATTTACAGATCAAAATATCATCACATTCAATGCCAAAAAGTTATTACTGACATATATATGTTATAGATTGTTGATTAGCTATGATTATGGACGACGTCTCGCGTAAGATATACTCAATATACAAATACATGTAACAGTATTATTATTATTAATTTACTCATCATTTGATTTGGGATAAAAGTATGGTAAGACTTGGGTAGACGACGATCGAGGAACTAGGGTTATTCTGACACCGGGTAAGTCCTAGCTTATGATCACTAAATCAATACTTAATCGATAGTTAAGGAGATGTTAATCTAGTATTAAATCCGACAAAAAAATATCTTCACAAATTTACATTTTATAACTTTATTTTCGAGGATCAAAGAAAACAATTTGACTGTTGCTAATGTCTTCAGACTTCGAATTAGCTGGAAGTAGAAACACTAGGATTAAAACTAACGTACAGGTTGTTTTATTGAGTGTTGTTAGGGAACGTAAAACTATGATGTTAGCGGGACATAGATTGGATTAAATCATGCTAAATGCACGCTTGCATTGGCGCACGCTGATTGGATAAGGATTAGCCAATCAGCGTTAGGCAATACTTAGTGAACACTCCAGAAATCTTCACATGTGAAAATTATAAATATACTAACGCTTTCCCTATTGCGCTTCTTACTTCCACATAACCTTGTTGTTTGGAATATAATCTCTTTTCCTGTTCAACCGTGTTCTGATTTGGAGACTTGTCGAGTAAATTGGTGTCCGAGAATACTAAGCAATAGGAATAACTGGGTTATAACCGTAAGAGAGAGAAATATAACACATGTCTAAATCTTAAATACTTAAAACGACAGTTTTAAAATATACACCACAACTATATATTTCAAAACAATAAGTATGTTTGAGATTAGTAATACTTTGAATAACAAATCTTAAACATTTATCTTCCAATCAATGAGAGGAAGAAATCATTATTAGACGCGAAATGGGATTACAATTAGTATTAAAATTAGAATAGGTGAATATGCAACAACTTGTTTCACAATCAACCTATCCACACTTTCAACAATTCTACAAATTAAAGTGTGTTGTAATTTAATTGAAGCTGTATTTATCATTATATTGATTACAAAAAAACCGACAATAAAAGCCCCGGTAAGACTATGAGTGAGGAGAGTTCATTAACTCTTTCAAAAGATACCCATATAATCACTAACGGGTAAGTTCTATTCACTGTCTTCTTACGGGTATTGTCATGGTTACCGGCTACCACGGGACCACATCTCATAACACTGCTCCACAGCTTTGTGGACTAAACCTTTAGGTCAAAGGATCAAGGAGTGCCCATCTGAGAAAACTAACTTGGCACCCGGGCAGCATCTTCGCCCACACAAAAGTAACAAAGTGATTTGCACTCGCTATCTACATAAACAACTGTTGCAAGTACTTAGTTACACAAAGACTGAATTTACACATCCTTTATATTGACATTCTGTTTATTTCTATTTTTCATCTCACAAAGCAGATCGCCTGTGGTGGAAACCTTGTCCTATTCAAACGATCTCAAGCCACTGAATGGTCGAAAGCTGAGTGCTACCATTGAATACGGATTCTAAATTAACCCTTCTGAAACTACTTATTCCATTCAAACTGGCCTCCTCCAACGTTCGTATACTAATGCAGACGGGACAGCAGATATAGTCGGTTGTCTTTAGAAAACCTTAATATCGATGTCTATTGTCCATCCGAAACCCGTATTCAAGACTTTAGCGAAGTACTACAAATTCGCTCTACGTTTGTCACTTCGAAAGGCTTGTTCCACGTGAGTTTATCCGGGACGCTGTGGCGTGTTCGCCTGGTTTTTCTGGCGTTCATGTCTCACTGAGTGCCAGATCTGAGGCAGTACTAACCGACTGGATCCTTATTAACAGTCATTATGTAGTGTTAGATTTGAAAGCTCCATAAGTGGGAAGAAAACGGTGAGAGAAATAATATGTTTTCATCATCTACGCCCATGCAAAAACAGATTCCGGAACGGCTGAACTATAATTCTCTCTTTCACTAATTTTGATTATACTCACCTTCTATCTCTTGAGAATCCCATGTTTTATTGTATGACGTATATTTGTTTGAACGCTTACTTATACCAATACTGATGTATTTTAATAAATAATGATATACTGTAAAAAAAAATAGTAGATGAATAATCTTACCTGAGAGAAAAACGGTGCTATAACTGGACCCACATTATCTTCTTCACGTTCTAACGATACTTGAACAGTTAATGTTTCGCCACTTAGCATGAAAAAAGGAATGATAAAAGTATTTGCATTTAAAAAATACTCAGTAAATAGAAGTAAGTAAATTAGAACGTAAAAATGGAATGAAATATGATTGCATGATGATGTAATAATCCAGTATCATTGACTATTCATATTCCAGTTACTGAGTCAAAGGTTATGTCTCAGTTAACAAACGAACTTACAGACAGTGGGAAATTATTTCTTATTTTCATACTGCGAGAAACAATGTGAACGATGCTATGCAGTTGCCTATAACTTAGCAGATATAACACCATCTGAACATAAGGTTTTCACTACTTAGGAATCATTGAAAACTGGAAAGCATATTGGGCGACTATTATTAAGTCTAGTTAAGGCTCTTCTTAGCAGTGTGTACTCATTCATGCCTTAACATCAAAGTGTTCAGTCTTGTTGCCGATCATGGAATTATATTCCCAATTGTTAACAGTCAGTCAGTCAGCTACATTACAATCAACCAACTTTGTAGCGTAGCTGATTATTCACTGTCAAGTGATTTAGAACTGGACACTTGTTAGGGATGCTAGATTCTCAGAATTCATTTTGTAAATGTCTGATTTTTGTAATTTTATTTTGGAAATTTGGATTTATTGTTTTCGCGCCAAAAGCGCTCATTTTCACCTTTATATCGTATTTCCCATTTGGAAGGACCTTAAATGTCATTGATTCGTTGTCTATTTAATATGCTATTATATAACGTTTCCTAAAGACATTTTTATGCTGTATACATACGCTTAAATTGTGCTTGTTGTTGTTGTTCGTGCTTCTGGCTGCTTGTGGAATACATGTTCCCTCTTCTGAACCTAGAATACTCTTTCTAGTTAGTGGGGTTGAGACGCATCGTAATAGTTTAGCTTATTTGGTTATTGTGTCGCTGAGTCTTTGTTCCGTTGGCAGATATAGGTGAACTTATAATCTTTTCAAGTATTACAGTTGATGATAAGTCATAAAAACTTACGTTCGTATAGGTGTTTTTAATGCATTATTTCCATTATTTGTGGTAATTTCATAAGTAATTTCAATATTTGGATAACGATTACAAAATCTAGCTACATCAGCCATTTGAACTTGTGTTAATCCATCTAGTAATTGATTACGTTCTTCATCTTCTAATTCAATTAAATCAAATACAGTTTCAACTTTATTTTCTTTACATTGATTAATACGTTCAGCTGTAAAATGTGGTATTTGACGTAAATAAGAATCTTTATGCCATACAGCTTGTGTACACATTTGTGATAGTTCCATAGCTGCTAAAGCAGGACCTAACCAACTATTACTGGATAATACATCTACACAAGCCTAAAATACAAAATAAAAAGTATTTACGCACAATTATATCATTATGAAATGTTAAACGAAATTATTTCCTAGTATTATGACAAAAAGAATCAAGATCGAGTCGTTTAAAAATCACCTTGATCTTCATCGGAAATGACAGTTTTGATTTCGACTAAAGTCATGCTTAGTATGCAGTTAGCAGTGAAATTTGGAACACACCCGTCACGTTTTATTTAGTTAGTGGATAAACTGGTCTTTGAGGAGACAAGTGGGGACTGAGTTCACGTCACAACAATAGTGGGATCCAGGTATATCCAGCCAAGCAGTCCCAAATGAAGTAAAACGCGAGTCCTGGATTTCACTGTTGGCTACATGCTAAATATTAAAGATAATTGGGACAAAAGGTTCTGTCGGAACAATTTACTTATGATGTGCTTTTCGCGTTTTTTTCTTTTTATACACTCAATTTTTTTCTACCACCACTGGATTTATCTTTGGAATCTTAGCTCGCTGTGCTAATGAGGTATGACAACTTGAACCGACCCGCATGTATATCAGGTTCTACGTTGCACATGATTGGTCGACACTTGGTGACCTAGGCAGATCAACTGGGGTTTTTAATATATATATATGGCTTACTCCTGTCTTCCATTCACGACGACATACGTTCCTGGGTCTTCCTCTTTTCGTATTACCTTCAGGTTATATTTTATGTCTTATACACCCCCAGGGTCTTTTCCTAATTTCCTCTTCATCTAGAAGCTGGTTTATTCTCTCCCACAGTAGACTGTTGCTGTTGGTACCGGCCAACGGACATTGAGTAACTTGCATAGACAATTGTCTATAAATACTTCTACCGTTTTGATGATGGCTGTGGTAATTCTCCAAGTTTCATCACCGTTAAGTAGAACTGTCTCGATGTTCGTACTGAAGATTTTGAATTTGATGTTGGTTGATAGTTGTTTTGAGTTCCATATATTCTTTAGTTGTAGGAATGTGGACCTTGTTTTGCCAATCTGTGCCTTTACATCTGCATCGTCTATGTTAACTGTTCCTCAGGTTTTTAGGAGGGGCATCTGTCTCGTTACTTCCGAAGAATCTCGGCTTTTACCGTGAGGCGTCATAACTCTCCTGAATGAAGATTCTTCAAACCTCAGGACAGAGTTTAAATGGTTTAATTATTTTTTTTTCTGGTTAGCATATTTCTAGCAAGGATGTTCTCTACATAACGATGTAACTAACCCCATGCCCAACCCACCTCTTTTATCCGGGTTTGGGATATTTTTAACAAGGTCAATTTATTAATGATACATCATTCTTATTGGAGTTTGAATTAGAAAGTGTTTGGGTTTTAATCATTTTAATGATAAAAACGTTTTAGTAATTCAGACTGATCACAACAATAGCTTAGTAATAAAACAAAAATGATCATATGATTACTAATTGTGCTCAACCGAGGGAATAACTAAAACTTACATGAAATAACTCAAATACTATGAACACGAAAACCAATTGAGATATAAAGTTATGGAATGAACGACAGTAATATTATAATACACTTGTTGAGAAAACAGTTAGCTAACAATTTAAAAACATCATTTCGAGTCCCAGAGTGAACATCAACTCTTAGATGCAGGTACATCCAAATGACGAGTCCCAAATAGGACGAAACGCACGTCCTGTATTCCACTGCCAGCCACTATCCACCTTTGCTTACAATACTTGTAAATTAAGGCAATATATCGAAGCAATACACACAGGATGTACATATGTCAATATGCGACTGATCAATTGCAATCATAATATATTAATGGGAAGATTCAAGTAAAACAATACCAAGTAGAATCATCATTTCTACAGTTATAGAAATTTGACTTGACAAAGATAATTACTAGTATGAAATTCGTAAATGATAATCAATTGATAAGAGTTAAGATGAGTCGGATTTAAATATTCAATAAATAATGAAATACAATAAAAACTATTTCTAATTATCATATTTTTCTTAGGTTAACAGAACAAACATTTGGATTTGATAAGTGTTATATCCGAGCGAGGAAAGCATCCAACTGCGTCACAAGACAAGCCCTCACATGGAATCATCAAGGCCAAAGGAAAAGAGGAAGATCAAAGAACACATCACGCCGGGAAATGGAAATAGACATGAGAAAAATGAACAAGAATTGGATGGAACTAGAAAAGGCCCAGGACATAGTGGGTTGAAGAATACTGGTCGGCGGCCTATGCTCCATTGGGAGTAACAGGCGTAAGTAAGTAATATCCGAGCGAAGATTGAATTACGTGTAACTCCCGAGGACTATTAATGGACTAATGTTCTATAAATATTCTTATTGTATAATTATTTAATAATTACATTATGTATATTTATATTCCTCTTATTATAAGCTTTAATTTGACCCATAGGCTATTACTATACGATTTATCATTCTTGGGTTATGGCCTGTCTATTAATTACTATCTCCCACCTTCACAGTCACTTCTTGGCTTTATCGTGTACACATGTTATTTTCTATTTTATGGTATGGTATGGTCTGTCTGGTTGACATATAAACACAATATGTCTGAAATAAATGATTCGATTCAATTCAATTCATATTACAGAAGCTGGTATTGGTGTTCTGGACTCAAGCAGACGGGCTAGAAGGACATAGGACCAAATAAGGACGCTAGACTGCTCATACCGGGTTGAACGTCATTGGTTGGCATAGTACGAAGATTGTATAAGTCGTACTCTGATTAGGTGGATAAATCACGTGATAAAGAGCCGGACATAAAATCATAACAATAAGAAAGTTCAAATTACCTATATCATTAGAAAAGATGATAGAATAATATTCATTATTTAATGAATATTAAAATAAAAAAGAATAAACTTACTTGAATTAAACGTATAGTACAACTTAATAAACGATCAGTATCTGTTTGCATTTCATTTGGTAATTGTAAACGTGATAAATGTGCTTGTAATAATAAATTTGCTTTAACATGTGGACTAGAAAATTTAGCTTTTGGTGCTAATTTCTGTGGTACTTTTACACTTAATTGACGTAATAGAATATCTTCATGATGTCGTACAGGTAATAATATATCAAATTCAGCTGCATTACTAATCACATCTAATAAACCACGAATTTTCATTTTAGCTGTTAATGATAAACTGAATAATTCTGTACACAAAAAAAAATATAGATTGGGAAAATACAGTATTATATGCCATTGGTAGATATAATGATATGTATATATGTATATAGATTGTCTGTGAAAACGTTTGGATTGTTTAGAAATAATTTATTATCATAAAGTGTAATATTTAACTAGTGAGTACATTTATAACATTATAGCATTAAAATTACATAATTAGACGAGGAGACTACAAATTATGAACGAACCAATCAGATATTAGATAACAGATCTTGGATTTTATCATTTTGGCTAATGTCAGTTTGTGATGAAAACTGTAAATCTAATTCCTAACCCTATCCAACAACTGTTAATCATAATCCTTGCCTCAAACTCCCTGGTACGATCGAGAGCGGGGCGAGAACGCTTCCCCTCTCGAAATGCTTTAACCGGGTCCGTAGATATGGAGGATCCACCTAGGGGAGTCGGAAACCCCTGATTACAAGCCAATCGTGCATATGGGCTCCAGGATCCTAAGGGAATAAATGGCGTATGAATCAATCGTTAGTCACCGGTAACCATGAAACTGCATCTCCTTACATTACTCCACTGCCTTGTGGTTTAGACTTTTAGGTCAAATGCTCTAGGTGTGGCTCCTAAGGAAATTCACCTGCTTCGGTTTTGGCACCCGGGCAGTATCCCAGCTCTCACACAGATCAAATGATTTATGTGGCGCATATCTAGTTGATGCCTTCTTGTATCTATATTTATGTGTTTAAATATATAAATAATAATTTTTATTCTTCAAACTGTTTTATAACCCTCATTTGGTCCTAGTTAGTACGTGGACATTCTCAAAGCCACTTTAGCGTTGCTCAAAGGTCATCCATAAATTATAGTCTCATCGAAAAAAGAACTTTCCATGTATAAGTTTTTGTGACTTACTCTTAAATGTAATGTGATGAAGTTTGACTTTTTAGTCCTAGACAGGTATGTGATTGCTGATTTTAATTATAATTTTAGTTTTTTCTAACATTTCATCCAATTGTGTAGGTCTTTACTGATTGGATTTGTTGAATGGATTATTTTGATATACCCAAAAAAAGAAAGAATTGTATTCTCAAATTAACAGGACTATGACTATTTTCTTTTGACCAGTAATAATTTTGTATCTTATGTCAATTTGTCTACTCAATATATTGTAGATTGGACTGTTTAATCTTATTGAACAACGCTCTCTGAGGGCTGTATAGTTTAATAGTGCTATTTGTTTTGATAATTCAGTACAATATGTATTCATAACTTTTGTGGTATGAACCATATACAAGTTATTCACTATGCCTTGAATTAACCTATGGAAAAGGACAAGTATCTAACACTTCTTTGGAAGCTATACAGAATACAAACAGCATTAGTTCGGAAATAACAATGTTGTAACCAAAAAATTCACATCTTATGCAAAGTTGTGATTTAATAATAAATACTTTCTACCTTATCAAGTGATGAAAAATAATGAAATACTAAACTTTTATCACCAGCTAATTTCATTGGCACTATAGAGAAATGTGTCGATCAAGACAAGGGATTTTCCATTAGAAATTTAAAGAATGCACTAAGCATTTAACCCAAAAATTGATCCTTTAATTTCGTTTCAGTACTTTGCAGTATTTTAGAACTTGATCAGGTTAAACATTGGAACATATTCGAGACATTTAATTTATGCATGAGATTCAATTTGCTTCAACATCTTGAAAATTATTATAAAAGAGAATACCTTAGGAAATTTACAAAACGGTGGCTAGTCAAACTGAATAGTGTTCTAAAAGCTTTTCAAATTTACAACATGATAGACTGTTAACAGTTTAAATTCATCAAAATGGTTTGAAAAAAAAGTAGCTAACATTTTGTACTTTAGATGTTAAAGTTTTAATTATCAGAAGGGGTTTGTGGAGATTTTAGAATCTCGCGGGGTGTGGGATTGTGGGTGCGCACTATTGAGGAATCCCACACTAGAACGAAACGGCCGTCCAGTGCTTCCAGGTTTTTCATGATGGTCTAGCTTCACTTGACTTATGTTTTCAATCTGTGAAAGTTTTAATTATAAATTCTATGTAAAGTACTAAGTGTATTACAATATTGAGACTCAAAATGTAAAGGAGTACTAAGAAAAAGTGGATACATCGGCATCACTGTAACTGACTTTGAGCACCGTCACTTAAATCCTCCGACATCTGATTCTATAACCATACGGACATTAACCAGATGGTCTGCACCTGGTGGTAATACTTCTCAGATCAATAACTTAACATAAATTATACACTTACCAAGAATTAGTTTTATTTAGAAAACAGAATATGGTTATTAGCAAACAAAAAAGGGATATAACTAGTTAACTTACCTATTGTGTTGTACTGAATATAATAATACGCCGATATCATGCCCAGATTTAATGGAGCCAAATCAATACCATCTTCTATAGAAATACATTTGGATGTCTCCAGATCATTCAATGTGGTCTCGACTAATTCACTTAGGTGATCACTTAAATGTCGATGTGTCACACCCTGATAATAATAATAATAAATAATAATTAATAATAATAATAATAATAATAATGTGTTGAAATTAAACGTATGACAATAAGGTGAAATTATCTTAAGGTTGTTTGTTATATGTGGAGATAATCCATAGATTTTTATACATCTCGGTGTATACAGCATACCAAAATTCCATCGTCAAATAGTACAGAACCAGGGAAATCTTCGTGATGTACTAAAGAATTAGATTTGATTTCAATAGCCTCAATGTAACAGATTTGTACACTCTATTTTCTTATTTAAATTAAAATAAACGAAGGATGATTTGAAACTGGAAATTTTTATTGCAGTTTCCCAGTAGCTCAGATAACAATCGGATATAGTTAAAATATTCGACGCTGAAAATTGATTCTTCGAGTAAAATATAAGCATTACAGAACAGATGAAACTGTTAAAGAGAAGCTGCTAACACTGATAAACTTATTAAGGTTTTAACAGATGAATAGTACCGTTTCCTTTAAAACAGTATGTAAAATCTGCAAACTAATGCTTAGATTTAAACGTAATCAGTAAGTTGAATAAACAAAAACTTTTCTTAAAGTTGACTACACTACAATGGGATGTCAAATCAAGAAAAAAAAAGTCAATACTTATTGAATAATAACCCCTTAAAAGTGGTTCACCACAAGATACCTGCTATCAATCACGTTGGCGTTTCGTAACATTGATATTATTACAAAAGTTGGGATTAACTAACTGAACTGGCTGGTAAATTATCAGTTACAGACTAGGGATTTTAAATAATAGTAATAATCCACTTATAGAGCATTTTTTGATTACATAGGTACTGACTTCCTAATGAACAATTATTTTCCCCACGAGTTGGTTGTTTCGATTTTTTTCTTACAATTTAGTGTTTTGAAAGCAATTCAACGGTAAGGGGAGAAATTCACAGATAATAATAATAATACTCAATAATCAAATACAGGTTTGTGTACTCGACTTTAGGCCGCTGCTAAGCTACAGAAAAAAATCATCAAATATTATACATACCAACTTTTAGAATAACTAACGATTATACACCACATTGTGAAACATAGAAAACATATTTTTCTGATATTTGGCATCGAAAATATTGACTAGTACATGACAACAGTGAGATGGGACCAAGATCATATGACTTATAATCAACTGAAAAAAGTATGTCACCAAGTAATTACCGCTTAGTTGACTAGGAATAATGAAATTTTTAATAAAAGAAATTTAAATTTACCTGTAAATTATAGTAATTTGGATTTTGTGTCATACGTTGATAGAGAAAAGTCCATGTTAAATAGTCCACAGCATCTTGTTTATTTTCAATAGTTTTGGTGACTATTTCAGCGTTGAAATGATCATGTAGAGCATGATCTAGATGTGATTCCACTGGTAATGGATCATGAAGGAATTTTTTCAAGAATTCTTTCTTTCCAGTTTGACATAGTACAACAGCTTTAGCTTCACTATCGATATTCGGACGATTAGCATGTCCTAACATCTCAATCAAATCAACTATTGGATAATCTTCATAAGCATGAATCTTTCCATTATAATCTTGTGTATCCATTACAATTACAAGATAAGCTGTCAATGGATTTGGTGAGGCTGCAGCCCAAACAAGCGCACGTGATACAACCAAGGTATGTAATGCACCGGCAGCGAATAACACTTCAATTAATCTACGATCTGGTTTTGAGATAGCTTCATGCAAGTAAGCTACACCGCCACCATGACGAATAACTTCAGCTAATGCTCTATCTGCTAACTGATCAGCAGCACGAGACAAAGCTTCTTCCAAGTGACTTGAGATAGTTTGAAATTTAGATGTTGCATTGCTGACAGCGAACATGGTTATCAAATCGAGAGCAGCTCTTTGTGTTTGACGTCTGGTAGGCACATAAACTAAAGTTGGTTTACGCTGAGAATGCTGTGAGCTACCCGCAGGACTTGGGGTAAATGCTAGTCGTGTTATTAGTTGATAAACAGGTTTAGTCATCGCTAACAAACGAGACGCCTGGTGTGGAATATTGAACGGCATAATAGTCAATTCTAAAGGAATAGGTCTAGTAGCAGGTGGGAAATTGTAAGTTGCTCCAGAAGTACAACCAAGCCAACTAGCAATATCACGACCATTGGTAAGACTATGAGACAAGCCAATTATACGAATTGGATTATCCACTTGACTACTGATGTAACGCATTCTTGAACACACCACTTCTAACACTGAGCCGCCTTCAGAACCAACTAAATGTAAATTGTCTGCAATAAATAAATTGACATTTTGTACATTTTTACGTTGTTTCCATCTTCTGGATAGCACATCCCAGTGTTCTGGTGTAGTTACTATGATCTAAATAGAAATAAAAAAGAGAAAACGTTATTGAGGTAAGCTACATATACAAACTCAGCGAAGCTAATTTAAAATAGTGTAAATTTAATTAAGAGAAGAAATGAAATGTAACATAATTAAGATATCAGTGAGTATTATCATCGGCGACAGTCCACCGGATGAATGTCAAATAGTAGGAAATATATGTCAGTGTTAACCAATAATCAAAATATCATCAAGACGTCAATATACACAGTATACGTTATAAGTACATTTAGAATAGTAAAATTGTTGTTTAATATGGTTTAATACAAAAACTTACATTCCCACGAGCTAATAATTTTAAGTCCACAGAGGTTTCTCCAGTTAATCGAACGACACGTTTACCCAACTTCTCACCAAATCGACTTGCCCAATCAATATAACGCTGTTCCACTTGTTCTTCATGTGGTGGTAAAACGTAAATACACCGAAAATTGGCAGTTGTACCTGAAGAATCTGACGGATTCGTTGAACTACTATTATGTGTAGTTATTAAACGAAATATTGCTAATTCAGCACAAACTGTCTTGCCACTTCCAGTTGGAGCTGCTATTAAGACATTCTCATCTGAATTATATAGGGAATTGAAAACCTAAGGGGGGAGGGAAACCGTGAATCGAAAAAAGTGTATAAATTATAATATGGATAAAATACTATAAAAAGTTGTATGCGTATAGGTTGACAACTTCGTCAACTGAAATATCTAAAAAGGATTTGTCTAAAATCATGTCATTATTCAATCGAATATACTCATTTATATGCGGGTTTTACACATACAACACTTGATTGGTTAATAAACATTAAATGGATGAAAAGCAACACACACTTATTGTAATACATATACACAGTTCATACACAATACGATAAGGAATATACTTTAAACGAAATTTACACTTAATCGATATGGAAGATATCGTCATGAAATAATGTTACACTGGAAAATGTACTCAAAACTGACTAAAATGTTATACTGATAAATTAACCAACATTAAAATTTCAAAAAATTGAGAATAAAACTAATGTCATAGAGTGCTAAACTGAGTTAGAGGAGATGTGAACTCGACTACTTATCCCGATTTATCACACTCATCAAAAGCTGTGCTTAACACTAACAACATTTTGATCATACAAGAGCTATCAGATGACAGAATGCTCATACAATTTGGTCTGAGGAGGAGTGTATTCATAAAATAAAAGATATGAAATAATATTGGAACTCAAAACCAAGAGGTGGATATAAACAGTAGGTCCATTTGCGTAACTGATCAGTTTAAAGCCACGTTAACTAAAATCTCTGAATACAAATTACAATTATCGTTCAGACCCAACAGCGTAAGCTGCGTTTACCAATACGGTTGAGAGCAACGGTCAGTGAATTCGCGTCTTGGTTTAGCCATCACCGCCTTTCGTCTAAACAACTACGCAATCTAGGATGGAGTATCTAGATAGACAATAGACAAGCATAAACAACATATGTTTTTACCACCTCAACTGATGCGAATTCACTGATTTGGCATTTCCGCTTAGTACCTTACGTCTAATATCAACATTATTCACCCAGTTGGTTCCTGTTGGAAGAAGCACGATGCAGACCTAAGTCACCTGCATATACGCATCGCAGGTAAAATCTTATTAACTGCACTATTTATTCCCTTAATGATTCACCCTGGTATTAGTTTTGATAATCAATTACACATTGTCTGAAACAGTTAGCTTAATTTATGAGAAGAACTTGATTTTATCCTTAAGTCAGTAGCATTAAATATGAATTAATACGTACCTGTGTTTGTATAGGATTGAATACTTTGACACGATCTGTGTATAATGCTTCAAAATCTTTGTTTCTTAATGCGGTCACTGGAAGTGGTTGTAGATCCAATAATTCAGTAGGTGGTATTGTTTTTTCTGGTAATATTAAATGTCTAAATGATACTGGTAAAGTTACCTCACCACCAATCCAACGATCAGATACAGCGGTTATATAATAATGTGGTGGCAATGGATCGAATATTGGTAAAACAAATCGTAAAACATGCTCTTCTGTTCCATAACGTTGTTTTAATACAAAGAATTCATGATGTAATACACTGTTTCCATCAACATCTTCAACAAATATCCAAAACGCTTGATTTGTTGAGTGTACTTTTTCATCCCAAATAAAATCAGGTGTTAAAGTTAGCTCAACACGTAAAGCTGATCTTGTAATTGGTTGAACATGTACACTCATTTCTAGACGAGGTAACTGATGTAGGTATTTATGTAGAGGTCTACCTAATTTAGGTAACCGTACCAACTCACCTAATTCATGATGATTCATATCATATAAACGATCAAATGGTATTGATTTCTTCTCTAATTTACGAATAACTTCATCTGGTAACTTTTTAAACTGACGCAAAGGACACATTGATTCCCACATACGACGTTCAATCATTTTAGCCAATGTGAGTGCATTATCTGCTAATTCAGCCCAACCTCGATGAAGAACAATTTCAAAGATTGCCCGTACAAGTCGACCAGCTGACTGAGTAATATAAACCATGTCAGACATTAAAGAGAATCCTTCTAATTTCAATCCAGAAATATATGCTTGTAATAAACAGTTGATTTTAGCTGAAGGTTCTTCGGGAGATTCTTTGATTGGAATCGGAACACGTTCAAGAAGTTTTGCTAATTCAAATCGTTCTTCCTGTCGAACAGTCATATGTTTGAATTCAGAACTAGCAGCAAACACACGGAATAATTCGATTTCACCCAAACCCGGACGAAGCAATTTATTATATGAAAGTACAGTTGTATGAGTTAAGTAGTAATGTGATGCGATTCGACCAAGTTCAGTTGACTGCAAACATCCTGAACGTCTATCATAACGAATTAACTGTGAACGTTCTAATTCTATTGCTGCTGTATGCACTAAATCTCGACGATATTGTTCAAGCCAAGGGTCATCCTTTTCACTACCTTGTGGTACACCATATAACGTAGGGTTTCGAAGCATACGTATGTATAGATAAGTGTAGCCCAACCAAGTTACGGCTTCACGAATAGTTGTTACAGTACCTAAAACTATTTCTGCATTAAGTAAATCAGCCAAACGTGAGACCAGCTGACTTTCAATTGGAAGTTGTTGATTCATTAAACTTAAATAGTATTGTAACTCTGTATGATTTGTAATCAGTATACCTTCACCTTTCGTATCATATTGAGGGCGACCAGCACGACCAAGCATTTGCATAACATCCAAAGCACCTAATTCCGTCCAACGTCCTTTTTCTGGACTATAAATCTAGAGAGTGTTTATTTATAAAACGAAAACATGCAATCAGTACACTGATAAAGTATTCATCTTTCAAAACAATTAAGAAAATTGTTTTTGTTTTAAAAAAATTTTTGAATTTTAACTTAAAACGGTTAGATAAAAACTAGGAGAAGTGGCGAATATCGAGAAGTCCCTCATTAGTTTTCAAACTAAGCAACGGCAACACATGTCAGAAATGATACAAACTGGGAACTTTTTGGCGGTGCTGTGTTCCCTAAGCTAGATGGTTTAATTAAGGAGTTTAGATTGTTATTGTAGATGGTAACATCATCGTCTACTTCATTGAGGCATTCCTTTTAAATCCGGTAATAAACTTCTTCAAAATTATTTAAAGCAGTCTGATGATGATAAATCCGAAGTCATTTATTCTCTTTACCAAGTTAGTTTGCCATGAAGCATTCATTCGATATTTACTCACATCTAGTTGGGAACGATAGTTTAGTGGTGATAAAATAGTTAACTTACAACTAACTAACCGGTAACGGATTCGACTTTTAGACGACTTACTCAGCTTTGGATAGGTGAGTCGCATGACCAGCATTCAAACAGGAACCGTGAGTGTATATAGAGTTGATCATCACTTTTCTCAATCTGTAATCTTACTAAGTTAATATACTAGGAATGACTAAATTAGGTTAGGGATTTGAGTCCGATTTGTCAACTAATAAATTCACAATAAATCCATGTAACGCGCTTGCATAAAATTGTTCTGTGTGATTATGCATCATCCACTAAACAGACTAATCTTGATAATTCAACTAGAAAACACCATGAAATGAAGTCAGGGTCAACAAGTGTATTCTAATATGTAACTAGATATAGCCAAAATACAACGGTGTTTCGTGATAATTGTCCGAAAACTATGATATTCAGAAACATTATGTTATTCACCGACAATATATGTATTAAGTACATGTTTAGGGCTACTGCATAAAATACCAATCAATCTTTAAAGAGTACTCATCATTTAGTTGTTTATTTGTAGTAAATCAACCGGAAATTACACCTACGTAGGTTATTACATGATCCATTGTTTTGAACACTCATAACAGTGAATACTAATGGATTACTCGTGAAATTTCAATGTTTGCTGATTCATTCAAAACCGAAGTTATTTCTTATCAAGTAACAGTGACTTGTAGTTGATAATTTTAATGAAATGAGGACAGAAAACTAATCTAGCTGTAAAATACAATATTGATTATCCAATTTGTACAAAATCTGGGCTTACCTATTAAAGCGTTCGACTTACACAATTGATATATTTTGAGTTTAAAAGCTTCTCTTTTGTTTGTTGTGCTATCACTACTGAACTAGAGTAATTTGTATCGTTTAGATACTTAAGACATACAATTAACGCAGACATCGAATGGCATAAATCATAACCATATAAGAATAATTAAAAAAAGGATTGAATGTTATAATACCTGAGTTCCTTTAATCAACACCGTATGAGCTGGTAGATTAACACCCCAAGCTAATGTAGCAGTAGAGACTAAAACTTGAATATGTCGATCAGCGAATAAATCTTCAACTAAAGTACGATCAACACGGCTCATACCAGCATGATGTATACCAAATCCGTAAGGAAGTAAATCTTTAAGTTCAGGATTTTTGACCTTAGTAGAAAAAAGAAAGTAAGAATAAATTATTCACTTATACAGAATTCGGGAAAGTAGGTGGATAAATAAGAACTTTCGTCTAAATTTGAACGAATAGTTTCACAATATTTGGGCGCCGAGTTAATTTGAGACATTAAAAAGAAGAATATATTTGTAAAATCTCAGCGAATGAATTCATTCGCTGAGATTTTACAAATATATTCTTCTTTTTAAGTAGGTGGATAGTTTAAATATTTGCATAAATATCGCATTACCCATGTTTTTATTGAATGGATTCCTTCCTAGTAAAACGCTGTTATCAAAATCCTACAAAAATATTTTCTAGATAAGTGTTGAAGTCTACTAGCACTACAGACTTACTCTCATAACACAATCCAGAAAAAGAACAAACCATGATAACCAATTATACATGAGAAATTATAAGACAAAATATAGAAATTAACTTCGAATAAAATGATAATATCGTCGTCGTCGTCAATCATAAATATAACTATCATAAATGAGATAAGATTACTACATAAAGTAACAATTAAAACAAACATTTCAATGTGCCTAAAAAATCTTATATTCGGTTTATAAAAATTTCAGTTGCTTTCTAATCAGTAACATTTAGAAAACTTTAATCAAAGACACCTTAGCTAGTCAACTACTTCAATAAAACTGATGTTCTGATGATGACAAGAAGTTTTTCCCCAACTTAAATTCCAACCAACATTGATGATTGATGAAATTCAGTAATCATATTTAGATCTGTATACTCGATTATGAGCTAATATTTTTATTATCAGAAGGGTTTTGTTGAGATTTTAGAAATTTCACTGATTGAAATCATGAGTCAATTGAAGCTAGACCACCATGGACCACCATGTTAAGGTAAATGGTACTGTGACGCATGCTACTTATGTCGACAGACATAAGTAGTATGTAACACATATCGGAAATGGAATGGCTATCCAAGGAAGGTTAAGAAGATTGCATTGAAGAAAACAGAAATGGAAACATAAAGGAATTGAGAAATGGAATAATCATGAAGGATATAAAGGACAATTGATGGAAGATTTGCAACTGAAGTATTTAATGTATGGTTTTCATATCGTACCAAAGAACTCTGTAGTAAATTGGTTGTCCCCATCGAATCTTCGTTCACTACAGTACTATATAGTTGCTCGAACCTAAATAAGAGTATGGATCTCGCATAGTTTATTCACTTGCTCATTAGTTAGATATGAAAATTAAAATAATGTCGATCATAAAAATCTGTAAAACAAAACAATTCAAATGTAGTTTTGCCCTGCTGAGTCCCACAATAGGACGAAGTGGCCGTCCAATGCATCCAGGTTTCCCATGGTAGTCTAGCTTCAATTGACTCCTGATCTCAACCATTGAAATTACTATAATGTGCATATCCACAAAACCCTTCTGATATTAATACAATAGTTTTAGTAAATTGACAGTAATTAAGAATAAATTATGATGTACTATAACATAATAGATTTTAATTGGTCAAATAATAATAATAATCTTACTTGTTCGGCTTCTTGACGTAGAACAACAGCCGATGCATTTTTCTCTTTCATAAATATACCTAAAGTATCTTTTTCTAAACATGAATCTCTTAATGTACGTGCTGTTTTTCCAGTTTCTTTACGACTATGAACAAATATTAAAATTTGATTACGTCCAGCATGTTCCATTACTTTATCATAAACAATATCATTCATTATTTGATAACGTTTTACAGCTTTTTTCTCAGTAATTCCAATATATTGTTGCTCTAATGGTACAGGACGATAACTATATCGAAAACAAAAGATTAAAAACAAATAAATGAGTCTATCACTTATGGATGGGAAAAACGAGAATATTGTGAAAGTTAATATGAATTAAGATATTAAAATTTAGCAATTGAAGTATAAAGTGAATTTTTTTTCAACAACAATAAATGGAACATAAAAAATAATACGATCTAACGGGAGTGCAAGTTCATTAAATCTAACCCAATGACTACTCGACCGTAGATGTTACAATGGTCGGGCTTCCCTATCATGACTTTAATTAGCTTCAGCAATTATTCTTACAGGTCCCACCATGCCAAGCAGATTGGTTGGAGAACGATAAAACTAAAAGTAGTAACTAAGGACCCGAGTGAGAAGTCATAGTGCTAAACGCATAGGGTTGTGTTGGCACTGAGATACTCCCTTCAAGTAACTGGTATCTACAACAATGCTACATTCTTTACATCGCAAGAGAAGCATTACAAAATGTTAATCTATGAGATATCACATTTCCCTTAAACCCTATGGATTTTTGTCTCCTGCAGTAAGGCTTATAAAGAACGGAGACAAAAAACTGTGTTAAGGACCTTAAGTAGTTGTCGCTGGGGCTCTGTAGTCACTCTCCTAAGTCACTAAGACCATTATTAATCCAGTCGTTTGTGCGCTATCCAACTGAACGCGCCAGTAAAAAGAGGAAAGACGAGGACATACGTCGCTATCACTTAGTCACCTCTATCTAAATTCACACTAACTGGAGTTCGAATCAAAAAGAGAAATTCTGTACAAAGATTTCTGGCCTCCTTCAAAAACTAGACCCTCAGGTGAAGTAACAGTAGCACGTAATTTTAATGCTCAAATAATTGACCTAAACGAATGTAAAGTGAGATTAGATGGATCTTATAGCGTCTCAGCATAACAAACAACAGCGACCGTCTGTTGTAAATATGCTTAGGTAACTGTTTCTAGCAAGCAACAACTTTATGAATAAGGAAAGATGTTGTCTGAAATAAAGACCGCCAAAATTGACTTAATGATGGACACGGATAGACTATATCTCCATCAACAGAAATCGTTAAGAAAGCTCGATAGATTACCTATCATTTCAGAATACATGTCTAAATTCTGATGGCATTCCGGTGATGATGGCCCTAATTAACAAGAAAGGACAGTAATCTTCTTGTGATAACTACAGGGGAACCAGTTTGAATAGTGTTCCAAATACTAAGCTCCACAGTCACCCAACCAATAAGTAAAGCTCAGAAGAGCGAACCCGGCAAAACCATATCAGTTTCCGAAGTCAATGTAGTTATATTGTCCAAAACATTGCTTGTGTATGTTTGGACCACTGAGTGAACGATGCTGTTACAAGTAATCTACTAGGTAAAGAAAGCGAATAGGTTGATGAGTTAGTGAATTTTTATTCATTGAGGAGGTTGGGACATGTATTACATATGTCCAAACACCGCCTACCTCGAAGCACGATGTTGACTAGTGTATGAGCCATTTAGTCACTCATGTGCATTGATTCAAGATGTTACAACACATTAGCACAGCCGACAAGACAAATTCCAGAGTGGTAAATTAGTAAGTGCTAATAGTAGTAAAAAAATTGGCTATAGAGGTAAAAAGGGTATAAGATCTCGGCACTCAGGTTCTCAGGGAAGACAAAGAGTGAATACGCAGGGAGCACTGAGAACAATTTTGAGCAGTATTACCCGAAATCTGTCACTGAGTGACATGAGGCAGTAGTGGGCTGAAAAAAGAACTAGAGATGACTAAAAAAGACATGGCACCAGTCCCTGAAGTCATTGACAGTTGGACTAAGCCATGCTGGTAGGTGCGGATTACCTGGTTTAGGTTCGCGTGATTATTCTAACCAATGGCGGAAGGCATTGAGGAACATAGCTGAGAATGATTCGCGATGCCACAGACCTATTCACTCTTTGTCTCCTCTTGGATCTTAAGTTTTGAAATTATCTCGTGTCTTTTTATTTCACGAATTCATACTTTCCTAGAGGACCCCACACCCTGAACCTTCGACCTAAAGGTCTGATCTACAAGGCAGTGGAGCAACGTAAAGAGATTCAGTCCCATGGTAGTCGGTAATCAACAATAGGTTCATGAGCCAATTGTCCTCTCAGGATCCTGGAGCCCATGTGCACCACTGATTTGGAATCAGGGTTTTTCAACTCCTCTAGGTGGATCCTCCCTATCCACCTATCCGGTTAAAGTGCCAGACATTCGCTTTTCGTCCTCTCAACTTCGTAAACAACACCCATGCCATGAGAATGCAGTGAGTAGAACTTCCCTATCATCACGTGGCCATGTGGGAGAATTTCGAGAGGGAGAGCTGACTCTCCCCATCCTCGGCAGTTTGGGGGTATATGGTGTTACCTCTTGAATCGATGCACAAATTTGCAAGGTTGCTTATAACTGAAGAATAGAACCCAAAGACTATAAAGCAACGTTCTAGCGTTTAAGCACATGGTATGTTTTAAGTAAAAGCAAACGACTGTCCAATGACTTTAGATTTGAATATTTTTCAGTTAGTTTTAAAGTTTGAAATGAAAATTGTCATTACTGGAAAATGTTACAACGTTTTAAATATCTGAGACAAAACAAAACAAACTTGAACAAAATATAATACTAGAAATAAATGTGCCTGAACACTAGTAAGCCTAAATTGCTGGATTTAAAAGAATAAAGATAAGTATATCCAAAGAATATTATGGCGGAATGAATTTACTTATCACACTGAAGTATTTATCGATTTTCTAGTATATATAGTGAATACGATCTTCAAAGAGTATTAACACGAGTGTTATTGTAATGAACGGTATGATCAGTAGATGTCTCATACAAATTGTTGCAGGTTACTCATCTACAACATATGACAGGGTGAATAAATTCAATATACATGTTTAGGGTAGATGACAGAGCCGTTTAGGGATTCAAATACTTGGTTTGTTCAGTTATTATGATCTAGTCAGGAAAATAATCAAAATGATGGGTCTATTTTTGGTCAGTGATCCAACCAAAAAAGGAAAGTGTAAACGCACTCAAACTCTAGTAAAACGTCCTAAAAACATGCTACTAACCTGTTATCAAAATGAAATAATCCTTTCGAACAATCAACTCGTAGAAACGTCGCTACATCTTCATAATTTGGTAGCGTAGCACTCAAACCGACAAGACGAACACCACCTCCACCGCCAATATCGTTAGAAACGGCTAGACCGGATGTGTTCTCTACAGCACGTAAAGTTCGTGCAACAATAGCTTCCAGTATTGGACCACGATCATCGTGTAGTAGATGAATTTCGTCAAAAATGATTAATCTAACCAACTGTATGTAAGCTCGCTCATCCCCACCACGACGTGTGATTACATCCCATTTTTCTGGTGTGCATACGATAACTTGTGTTTCATAAATTTGTTCACGACTAAGTTGGTGATCACCAGTAAGTTCATCAACCTTAATACCATAACTGCTTAACAACTTGAAATAAAACAAGATAACAGAAATGTAAACAGTAATTATCAAAATAAAGACCAAACTGATTTCTGACACACGAAAGTGGTGAGGATGTTAAATCCATAGTAAACCACTAACAGATTACTTTATTTTTCAAGCTTTACTTTCCACGTTTTTGCACAAAAAACATCTTACAGGTCACTAGCCCTTTTATTAAGTCGTACTTGTGCTCGATTTCCAAGGTGATTGTGGGTATACGGATATAACATGCATGTGTTCCTCACTTAAGTCAGGCCTTGTTGTTCTCTACAAAATAGATTTTCCTTGTGAGATTTGTCTTTTGGTATACACTGGGCTAGGGGAAATGTAATCATAGTAATCAGGTATCCTAACCATAGTTTGGAATTATTCCCGTTAGTTAACAACAGATCAGAAAGAATAAACTTTGTAAATTTTTAATCAACTTGACTGGATTCAGTTTAAAATAGGACGATAAAACCAAGTTCGATAGCTGCCTTTAATAGAATGAGTCGGATTATGAAGATGTGAGGGACTAAATCCTTAAGTTTAAGAACGGAAATAAATATGTAGTTGACATATAACCCTGCTTCGGTTTGGGCACCCGCACAGTATCACAGCCTACACACAAATCAAGTGACTTGTATGGCGCATATGTATTCCGTGCCCCTTTGCACCAATATTCATGTGTTCAAATTGTTAGGATAGTCGGAAAAATATACCAATAATTATCGTGTTAAGTCTATGGTGTCCTTGGACCTTAAATGTACATTTCTTATTGGTCGATGTTTATTTCACTTGTTAAATATTTTGTAAATGTTGTTTCCTATTTTATGGTACGATGTGGTGTGCTTGATTGGTATATAAACAAAGTATGTCTGAAATACAACGATTCATAACTCAGAGGCTGTGACTTGCGTTCTTGACTCAACTGGCTAGGACAGACAGCGAAGCGGGACCAATCAGGGCACTAGGTCGTTCATACGTGTTTTCCGTGTCCACTGTACTCCGATCGATAAATACGCTGCTTATCAGAACCTGCAGTCCCACACGCGTTACAACACAAATAAACAAAATATAAATAAATAACCACAATGAGTAAAGCCTGAATTTTTGCACGTTACTTTAAATTAAAAGGTTGGTAACCTTGGAGTTTTAAGTCATGTTGAATACAATTTAATGTATGTGCATTCAGTTAGTCAATGTATTTTAAAAAAAGACCAAGAAAAATTGAGTACCTAATTACCAACCTTTAATATTGAATCTATTTTAACAAAAGATGAATTTACAACATTCAAAAATTGACAGAACTAACCTTATTAAAATTACCAACAACTTCTTGTACCAAAGATCGCATAGGTGCAATATAAATAAGTTTGAATTCATCTTTATTTATGGTACCATCAGGATTAATAAATTTGCCAAGTTCATGCATAATACACAATAAAGCTACATTTGTTTTACCGGCACCCTGAAAAAACCAAATGTAACAATTATATGTTTGGTTATTTTTATTCGTTAAGATACAAAGCTGTATGTGGTGGTATTCTACGAGGTAGTTGGTTTACTTGCGAGGCTTTTATTTGCTGTTCTAGACAATATCGGCAGTACCTACTTCATGGAAAAGTGACCTTTTCAGTTATTCAGCAAATGTTAAATTAGTTTATTCTGATGGCCTTGTTTGTGATACTTTGTCTTTGTAGATTTTGTTGTCTTAATTTATTCTTACACTCTTGTTGATTGCCTTTTTCGATTGATCTCTGATCATATGATTGGTTGACCTCTTCTGTATGGGTTGATAGATGGGATCTATTTTTACGTCTATCGATTGCCAGCTAATTCGCATACTGATGCCATACTTTTAGAAATTCCCTGGGAATCTAAGACTCATTAATATAGGAGGACTTGTAGAGATTATAGGACTACCATAGTTTATGATTTTGTCTAAAACGACCATTGAAGCTTTTCAGTTAAACAATCTAGCTCAGAGAACATGACACCACTAAAAGCATCTACCTGATCTGCAAATCTTTTTAATCGTCTCAGAACTGTTTGTGCTCATCATATCAAAGTGAATTTAATCCACGGAAACTAATTAGGAACCACGAAAATAAAATACATGATTATTTTAGATGTACAAAAATGTGAGCACCACTCGCATAAATTCGCGGTTACCTTCGCTGGTTATAGAAATTACGGAATAAAAACACTGATTAGTCATAGTGTTCGAAGCTCTAGTTTGTTTCAACCTACCTAGGCGATATGCTAACTTTGAAGAAACTGCTGTTTGGGTAAAATGATAAAAAGATATAGAATCTGGCATGAATGCACAGCGATCCAAAAAATGGATATTTAATAACTATTTCTTACAGGAGGACAGCTATTTACGCAGCTGCATCAGAAAATATCAAGCCAACTCATAGGTAAAAACGAAATTAAACATGAAAACTAACAAACGGAATGTCTTATCATATTATGAAGGGTACATTAGGAATTACAAGATTATTGAGGCTGTTTGGTCTAAGTGTAGCACATAAACCAGTAAAATCACTCCAATCAATCAGTCAGTTAAACGTAACGCAGAACCTGAGACATGTGTATAACGGTTCAAGTTGCCATGCGACATTACCATAGAGATGACATTATCAGGGTAAATCCTAGGGTAGTAGAGGTAATAACTTCAATCAATCATATCCAAACTAAAGGATTAAACAGCAAAAGAACCAAACATCATCTACAAAATAAACTGTTACAACTGTGAGAAGCACGTCGGACAAAGCAGGAGTATTTTTCATCTTTGTCTGAGTAAAAACCAACTAGTTGTCATACTTTATGGTGTTTTCCCTTCTATTATTGCACGTGAGCAATTGTGGACACATGTTTGACTGGGAGTGCTAAAGTGCTGGATAGAAGGAAAACTAACATAGAATTTTTAGAAGCTTGGCACTTAAATCAATCAGCAATCAAAAAACACATAAAAATCGACTTAATTTACCAATTATTTAGGAAGTTCATGGACAAATATGAAATTCAGAACCAGGCCGAAGGAAGAAACAACTAAAATTAACATGCAGACGACAACTAAAGGTCAACAATTACCAACAAAATTCAAGATCAATAGGACAAGTTGTCAGCCATCCGGATACATTCAGCTGACAAGTCCCGAACAGAATGAAATGCGCGTTCTGGATATCACTGTTAGCCACTATCCATCTTTAATTATGACTATGATCATATATATATATATATAATTGTAACATAACTGGTTACCTTAAATGTATTTTGAATTTTACTGGGTCTTGATCAACAAAACTTTCAAACAACGCGCAAACTTTCGACTTTATTTAGAGAAGGAAAGAAGAGAATAACAGTAGTCATGTCCACCGTATTGAAGTTGGAGTTGCGAAATGGTAGCTTAGTGCACGAACATATCAGTTATAACCACCAAGAAAGGTGAAAACAGACTTAGTTACGAATAGTAGTTATTCACCAAAAACCATTGTGCACACAATCATTCTAAAATTGTAGTATTTTATTATCTCAGTTAGTTGGTTTAATAGTACGAAAATTTAACTGGACAGTGAATTACTTCGACTGATAACATGTAATAGGACATTGGAAAGTTACAGCTTAGTGAATTGAATATGAATGAATCATAAATCGAAGTGTTGATTCAGGGTTATTAGTCTATTTAGTGACCATGCAATATTGATAACCTTTATACAATAAATTGCTGTGAAACAAACTAACATGTGACCTGTTTCGTATTTTAGATGTCCCTGGAAATGATGCGCAAAAACTATTATTCGCTTTAAAAACAGTAAGAAAAAGCCGCATCATGAGCATAACCAAAAGGCAAATTTATGGCAACTGGATTTTAGACTAGCTGCAAAATAAAGCACATAGTGGAGAAAAGCATAACATCAAGTGATTAGAACAGCAATGGAACTTGCTAACCAAACATAAATTTATGCATTTTGTTGAGTCACATTTGTGTTGTGAGAGGTAATGACAATATATGACTGCACAAATGAGGTTGGACTTAAACAATAACTTGTAATTAAAATTATCCGTCTAAATAACTGACTAAAACCTTTTAGGCTGATATTTTTTGTGTACATAACCTACTGTATTTTCAAGTGCGAAAAAGTTTATAGCTTTAAGTACCAGTTTATATAAATAAATATTTAAATTAAGTTCATCAACCAGTAAAAAACATACAGTAGGGGCACATAGTAGCAAATTTTCATCCGTTTCCATAGCAGCATGGTATAATCGACTTTGAATTAAGTTGAGAGTCTTGCAACCTTCAAAGGCAGCTTGTGCATACGCAGGTAGTTTTTCAATTTTTATTAGAGTTTCGCCTGGTTCTAATGGTTTTTGGCGTAAAGGTGGTACATGTACTTCTTCGTAACCCTTTTTCTGTTTTCGAAATGAACCATCGGGTAACTGACATCTCTTGTTTGCCATTAAATGTCCTCCTTGCGAAAAAGCTAGACCCTCTAAGTCAACGATATTTGCAACACCGATAGCACCGTCTTCAGACAAGTGAAAACCTTCATCGTTCATATTTTCATGCTCCATATCAGCCTAAATCAGTAAAGTAACAATAAATTAATAAGTGAAATATGCTTCGAAAGGTTTGGATACTAATATTTATTTCATTAGTATCACATGTACAATGTCATAAAAAGCCTAATCCTAACAAAGAGAAATTTAAAAATTAGTTGTCTAGTTCACCAACTAATATTCAAAACATGCATGGTAACTTTAGTTGAATTCATAGAAAACTTTAATCTCAGCAAATTTTATGTACAATCTACAAACAGTTTAATGTATATAGAACCAGTTATTCTTACCTGAACACGGACGACACGCTGAACATTTTTTCTTTGACGTTCTTCAGCGACTAAATCTGCAGAATTTTCTGTTTCTCTTAATTCATGCAATACTTTGGCTAACGTAGGGTCGCTACGCATTTTTGCCTCCATTTGACTACGTTCCTGAACTGTTTGTGCTTGTGCCAATAAAATACAGTGCAAAACCATAAGTCTATGTTTGCGTAAAATTTTGACAAAGTCGAACTGCTCATAACCGAGGGCACGAACTAAACGGTTTTCTAGATCCCTATCATCAGAAGCTGACTGAAGAATTTCCAGACATTCGCGAGCTTTCGCCTGAGCAAGTATCGGATCCTACAATGAGATTAAAAGCAGCAAAGAGAGATAACTTCAGCAAATAATTAAAAATGCGCTTAGAATAATTTATTGATCTATGACACCCGATTCCATCAATTAATGTGCATGAAAGTAACTAAAACAAACAGGTAAGCCATAACAGTGAGAAAAACCAACTATAAAACAATGATAAGCAACTGCAAGGGAACAACCGAAAGATAAGACTAAAGTAATGAGATACACATAAGTAAATGGATTGAGCAGACGTCAGTTTGCACCGGTTTTTTGTTTTCCATGAACTGTTAGCATACAGCGATAGAATTATCCTGAAATTGTTTCATGGAAATCTAAAATAGGAGTAATCAAGTGTTTTGAAAAACTTTTGATGAGGTATCTGTGGTCTTGTGCAGCTTAACTTCAATGAATGTTTCAGAAGTGTGCATTGAAACAAAATCGACTGTCAGAAACCGTATCAACAGCTTGATAGGTATGGTGATAAGTTGCTTGTACTACATGACGTGTTTTCATAAACCAAGTGAACACTGGCAATACTATCCAGTATTCTAACCAAAGGTAACAGTGATTAAGTAATAATTAGGAATGGAAACGGTTATAATTAAAACACATGTAATGTGTTTAAGTCGCGCTAATTGTCGTAAACGTTATGGTTGGAGTTATTGAGTAAATGGTAGTAAACGAATGAAAACTTCAGGTAACAGTGAGTCGGTCAGAATAGACGTTATACTAAGTACGTGATTTGTGTTGAAATTTTAAAGATGCTTAAAGTTGACATTATTTTCCGCTTTCTGGAATTACTATCGCTAAGCTTACTTAATTACAATGTAGTCACAACATAAAATGAAGGTTTGTGTATCCTGATTTGAGTAGTACTGAGTTATGGTTAACAATACTATTCAGTAGCTCAAAATTGTAATTCAATGGTTAAAACTCAAGTGAGATAACCCTTATGCTAACATTGGTTTAAAATGCGAAAATCTGGATTTACAATCATTCGTACTGAATCCTGAGGTATTTATGCTTGTGTACTGACCTAGGTACGAATAGATAGGGATGAAAACTCAAAGGAAAAGTGTCTGACTTGATAAGTGGTTAGAAACGGATGCCTCCATGAAAAGAACTCTCATGAAACTCCACGTTTTTTTAGAAGTGGACTAACTTATGTAAATGGAGATACAAACACAAAAACGCTTGCGTATTAAATAAATCAAAAACGGTTAAATATAGAAGTATAAAGCAAAACCAACTTTGCAATGCTTGGCAAGGTTACGTTGCAACCAAAACGCATCAATATCCCGAGGATGTAAATTTTCAGCATTTTGGTGAGCGGTAATAACTGACTCATTTTTACGAGACTGTAAAGTCATCTCTACAACGGCCTCCTCCCCATCTGGTTCATCTTCATCATCTTCTTCTTTGACCTCCCCAAATGCATCTTCCTCATCCTACACAAAAAACAGATATATCGGAAATACAGTTTATGGTCCGAAGTAGCGTTTCTCATCACTATTTGATGTCTTGATGCCTGCGTTGTTCTGTTTTTTTATTTTTAAAAAATGTCAGTAACACGTAAGACAAGAAGTTTGAAGTTACTGACTCATGAATTCGGGATCTTTTTACGCCACATACCTTAAGTAACCATAGTTTAGAAACTATTGATATCCAGCACACTCATACATTGATCTATACTTGCATATTTTGCCCGGGTTATGAGTTCTAAATCTACTCGCAAACTAGGAAGTTGGGTATGAGACTAATGGTACCAACCAATTGTGCAAACCGAAGTAGACGGAGGGTCTCGAACTTGGGACTTAGTGGCCGAAAGCTGAACAATTACCACCGCTTGAAGACTGTAAACCAACCTTTCAACGTGAATGTAAGGGTGTATTCATCTAATAATTAAACGGGACAACTGTTTCATACTACAAAGGAAGTATGAACCCGACCGAAGCTGCTACCTTGACGCGGTGGTCGGGCTTGCCTATCGTGATGACCCAACCGAGCTATATTGGCTGGAACATATGTTCCTGTAGGTTCTACCATGCCAGGCAGGTCGATTGGAGAACGGTAAGACTAAAAGCAGCAACTCAAGGTCTGAGGGCGAAGTCGTACTGCTGACTGTAGAGAGGTGTGACAGCAGTAAGGTGTTTCCCTCAGACAACCAGCATGACAGCGATGCTGCCTTCCCACAAGGAGGGTGGGGTTAGAAAAGGTCGACCCTAAAAATGCACACCTCACCTTACCTCACGGATTTCCGTCTCTGGCGGTAAGGCCCTTTGAAGAACGGAGCTAAAACGTTAAAAACCTTCCACGAAAAAGCCGTGCGCAACCGGCTTCAAGCAGTCGTCCCTTGGGTTCTGCGGTCACGCTCCCAGGTCGTTAAGACCAACACTAATCCAATTTCCTTTTCAGTTTCCTCAAGAAATACCCTTCCACGGTGTGGGCAGCCGGGAAGTGACACCAGCCCTCATACCCGTAACAGCACACGAGACCAAGTTGGTCACATTCAAATCCTTCCTACACCTCCTAATACCTCTCTTATCTCCATGACTAACCCTTCTCACGTCTCTTTATCATCTCGCACCGCTAGGGCAAACGATCCGAGTACGCGGAACGCTATTCCTGGCCTCCTAAAACCACGCTCTAAACTACACGTAGGAGCTTTTAATGTCCGAACACTGTGCCAAATAGGACAACAGGCTTCCTCAGCTAGGACTTTAGAATCTCGCGCCATCGATGTGTGCTGCGTCTCCGAAACGCGCATACAGGATCCAAGTAGCGTCATTCATTTGACCTCACCATGCCAAAATAAAGAACCGACTCGATTTACGCTTCGTGTATCTGGAAGCCCAGATTCTACTTCCCGTGGCCTCGCCGGCGTAGGTATAGCATTGAGTCCTAGGGCAGAACTAGCTCTCTTAGACTGGATCCCAGTAGACAGTCGTTTGTGCGCTGTCCGACTGAACGGAACAGTAAGGACTCGAAAAGATAGGGACACTCGTCGTTGCCTCTTCGTCGTCTCTGCCTATTCTCCCACTGACTGCAGCGCAGATGATGTAAAAGATGAGTTTTACAGAAAGCTCTCCGACCTCCTCCTTAAAGCTAGGCGTTCGGATGTAGTAATAATGGCCGGTGACTTTAATGCTCAAGTAGGTAAACCGATGGAGGGGCTCCATAGAAGACTGTCGCTCATTCTGGAGCACATGCTTAGATTCAGATCATGCTCTAGTGCGAGCGCGTATTTGCCTGCGTCTTACTGGACGTAGGAAAGACGCTGCAAGGAAACCTCTTAGGGCCCTACTTAATGATAGTCAAGCTAAGAGTATATTTCAGGAACAACTAGGAAAACAGTTAGGCAGCCATGTATGTGATGCCCACCCCGATGCAGCATGGAATGATATCCGAAAAGCTGTGGAAACAGCAGTGATATCTGCTAGTAAGGTAAACCAGAAGGTTAGGGAGCAACACTGGATCTCAGCAGCATCTATCGCACTGATAGATGCTCGGAAACTCATTCCACCTGGCTCTGAACATAATGAAGAGCGGAGTCAGCTTAAGCGCAAGCTGACAAGAAGTCTACGCAATGATCGCGAACAGTGGTGGGTAGCGAAAGCAAGAGAGATGGAAAAGGCAGCGGCAATAGGTAATAGCAGACAATTGTTCAGACTCGTTAAGGAAACCGGAATTAGGAACCCGACCGTTAGCGAAACAATCTCAGAGAAAGATGGACATATTATTCATTCTCAATCCAGGAGATTGGATCGATGGGCAGAACACTTTAGGGATCAGTTCAACTGGCCTTCAGCCACACTTCGGTTTCCCACGATCTCCAGTCAACCTGAATGGCAAGTTAATGTAGGTCCTCCGTCCCTTTACGAAGTTGAAAAAGCCATAGGAAATCTGAAACGAGGGAGAGCAGCAGGCCCTGACAGGTTTACTCCTGAGATTTTTAAGGATGGTGGTCCAGTATTAGCAATGAGATTAACTGAGGTCTTAGGTAGAATTTGGGAACTGGACGTAATCCCATCTGACTGGTCTCAATCACTGATTGTGCCAGTCTATAAGAAAGGACAAAAGTCCTCTTGTGACAATCACAGAGGAATCAGTTTGACTAATATAGTGTCTAAAATATTAGCTTCAATAATACTTCGACGCCTAATCAAAGCTCGTGAAGAGCAGATTAGAGAAAACCAGGCTGGTTTTCGACCTGGACGTGGTTGTATAGATCAGATATTCACACTACGTCAGGTTCTAGAACACAGACACACATTCAGACGCCCCACAATGGTAGTATTTCTCGACCTTAAGGCGGCATTCGACTCTGTTGATCGTGAGGTTCTATGGCAGTGTTTGTCACTGAAAGGAGTACCAAAGAAGTACATTAACCTTATAAAGGCTCTCTACTCGAACACAACTGGTAGAGTGAGAGCTTATGGCGAACTGTCATCAGAATTGATTACCTCAAGTGGTGTTCGTCAGGGCTGTCCACTCTCCCCATTCTTGTTCAACTTTGTGGTCGACGTACTTTTAGAGATAACACTCTCCTCATCTAAATTTCCAGGGGTTGAACTTCTACCGGGAGGTTCACTTGTTGACTTAGAATATGCTGATGACATAGTTTTATTTGGTGAAGACGCTGACAAAATGCAGAGTCTTCTGACCACTCTAAGCAACAATGCAAGCATGTTCGGGATGCGATTCTCCCCCTCGAAATGCAAAATGTTGCTTCAGGATTGGGTTACATCGACACCCGAACTAGTGATAGGGAGTGAAGTAGTTGAGTGTGTCGACCGCTTCACTTATCTTGGAAGTCTCATCAGCCCTTGTGGTTGGTGTGTGACGAAATCTCAGCACGGATACAGAAGGCTCGACTAGCTTTTGCCAACTTGCGTCATTTATGGCGTAGGCGAGATATCCGTCTATCAACCAAAGGACGGGTTTACTGCGCAGCAGTTCGTTCCGTCCTACTTTATGGCAGTGAAACATGGCCGGTAAGAGTAGAGGATATTCATAGGTTACTAGTATTTGATCATAGGTGTCTTCGAAACATTGCTCGTATATCATGGGACCATCGAGTAAGTAACCAGTTGTTAGGAAACGGGTACTAGGTAAGGATGGCAAATCAATTGATGAAGTAGTGAAACTTCATCAGTTGAGATGGCTGGGACACGTGTTACGTATGCCCAACGACCGACTGCCTCGACGTGCTATGTTCAGTGGTATAGGAGTAGGTTGGAAGAAAGCTAGGGGCGGCCAAACCAAAACATGGCACAAGTCCATGAAGTCACTGACAAGTGGACTGAGTCATGTTGGTAGGTGTAGACTACCTGGTTGGGGACCGCGAGATGATAGCAACCGATGGTTAGAGACCCTGAATGACATGGCTCAAAATCGTTTGCAATGGCGCAGGTGCATCCACTCTTTGTGTTCTCCCAAATTCTAATCTTCTGAATTCTTCATGTCCCTTTTTTTCCTCTTTCCAAATTTATTTCACTGGATTATACTCTTTAAATAACATCTCCAAACCCTAATCTTCCCGATTACTGCTTATACTCTTACTACCTCTACCACTACGGGATTTGAATCGACACTGCATCTCTGTGCTAATGTGGTGTGGCAACTCGAACTGATGTACGTACGTACGAAGTTCTACGTTGTTACTGACTGACTAACTGATTACAAAGGAACTGGTTGGAAGCGTGATTTTTTCACCACGGTGAATGATGGATTCTGGGTTACAGGTCTAAACATTGCTGCACTGGCTTCAGTTTAAGTAGCTAAACAGTAATACTAGATCCTATACTAAGTATTGTTGAAAATCAAGTGCATGAATCTCCTTAATTAATTTGTTGTTAGACGAAGTGTAAGCGAAAATTTGTCCCAGCATTCTAAATTATATTTCCCAAGCAAAACATTTGAATCGCACTGTTTAAGACTGTCAACAAACACTCCTTAAATTCTCCATATATACTGATTGGTTACTTAAATCGTTAAAAAAATTTCCAAAAGTTCACTTCATAACTCTTCGGACCGGTTGATGCTTACGAAGTACATGTTTATGTAGTAGAATTTGAGCTAGAGAAGACTAATAATATTAATTAACTACTCAAACCGCAGTAAGAGGAACCAACAAATTGTTGACTAAAGATCGAGTGTCTTAACCACGAAATCAGAGCTCCATATAGAAAAGTTTGGAAATATTTTTTTATGATTAGAGTCAGGAAGATGCTACCCCATGTCTCTAAAACCTCACTTTAAACTACATGTTGAAGCTCCCGATGTTCGAATGCAATATACTCCTTGTGAAAACGTGACAGTAACTTTCCGTGGCCTTTCTGGCATCGGTATAGCAGACTGAAAATAAAACACAAACTTGACCATATCTCTGTGGATAGTGTAGCGTGATTAATAATGATCAACTGTTTAAATTAAGAAATGAAATTACTGTTTGTTTCAACGACCTAGCTAGAAAAAAACACATGAACTAACATACCTCTTGGTCTGATTCTTCAAACTGAACATTTACACCATACGTTTGATCAATACTGTCATTGGAGTTAGTGACCGCGGTAGATCCAGGTTCTTCTTCTTTCCAGTCTGTGATTTTCTTGCAAAGGTTGACAATAATGTTATACCTCTCATCAACGAGAGGACCTACGTATACTCAATGTACGGTTAGAAATATATTTTACCTAACAAGGACTCTGTTTCCTTCCTTTTCTCTTTGTCTTTTAAATGAACATTCTTAGAAGTGGCTATAACTTCATCTGCTGCTCCGCATAGGATTTCACGTGACTGATCACCTAAAGCCTCTTGAATACAGTGAAGAATGTATTCATAGGTTTTCCGAGTGTCTGGTGTCTTAGGGTGGTACATAATTCCAGCTATATCGTTGAAATCATCGTTTAGTAAGCTAGCTCCTTTCAATTTCAAAGAGTCCTGTTGGGACTCGTCACGTTTTTGACGTCTTAAGCTATAAGATGGGATTAAATAACTTACTTCGCTCGTTTCTCATGCAGCATAGGTGGTTTTGTTCTTTGCGATTTGTGTCCCATTTCTTGAGCACGAATTTTCCCAGCTAAACTTAACACCTCTCCGGTGGATTCATCCCTTGGACGTCTGTCGATGAGTGACCGATCTGTTGAGAGTACAAGGTTGGAGTTGATTTTGTACTCGAACTGCAGCTTTCTGGCGGCATCATCAGCCATGATTTAACAAGATAAAATGCAGAACAAAGAATTCTGTTTAACTTTCAGTTTTAGGTAGGTTTGCGACTATCCTGAAGGTAAGCTGTGTGCTAGGGATATGTGAATAGCAGTTTTGTGAAATCTGAAGGAAAAGAAGATGAAAATGTACCCATGACTCCGCAAGCACTTACACTTTACTTAAATTGAGTAAATATAGCAATTGACAACAACTAACAATAACACAAGCGTACGAATAACACAACTTGACAAACGAAACCAGAGGCTAGTAGCTTACAATTTCAAATGCGTTACACTGTTTGTTGTTATAGTGTGGATCCTCTGTCCTTCCTCCTTGTCTACGAGTAGACAGCTGGGAGCGATATATCCAGTACTTTCAAGGATCTTTCGGCTGGTTTTTAGTCACAATGCACTACTACAAGCACAAACTCCCCGCTCTCACTTACCAGCTGCCACGATAACAGACCACTGATATACTTGCTATCTACGTCGACTGGTCGTACAGGTATCCCCGTTAGGTGATCATTCCAGATACACATTATCTAGCATTATATCTAATATATCCTCAGTTATTGGCTACTCGTAGTTGTGGATTACGAGACCATACTCAAACGCGCCCTCAAGTAACAATCAAAGTAACGACCTGTATTTTTCCTTTGTATATACTTTCATTTGTGTGTCATAAATAATCTCTATACTCTCATTATTTTGGTACTGATATACTTGCTTCACTATGTGAATATTAACAGAAAAACTATCACACTCGAATATTGCTCACTGGAAAATATATGTGCTGGTATCTCACCAAACTGTATCCGATTCCACTATATGATGACATGTAAATTAACTGAATTTTATGACAAAATAAGGACCACGAGGTTTTCACCAAACAAACTACTTTTTATCCGTAGGTATATATTTTTGATACCCTTCATTTACTTATTTATTCCTCTTTCGGTGTGTGTTGTGCAATTCTTTTTTCACCAAGACACTTAGAATTTACGTCGGGCGATACTTTACCAACGTATACCCTAAAGGGAGTTATATAATGACATGTGTACTCAATAATTTTTGCAATAACAAGATAAAGACCATATTTTTTCATTATCTGCGACAATCGATACATAATCCTAGTAAATTCAATATCTGTTGTTTCTCTATATTGATTAACAAAGTGTGTAGGAGAACCTTATGGTGTATCCGAGAAAGTCATCGACATTAGATGGAACTCATACGACGAGTTATAGTGCAAAGTCGTACATGTAGCATCTGTCGGAAAGCACGAGGTGCAGTGGACAGCTTGGAATCAACTAGATAATTTGGACGCTACAGATAACCTGACTCTTCTATCCTATATACACGAACAAATGTAGATGAAGATAACTAGTGTAGAAGCAGTCTCTGCATCAGTAATCCTCAACATACACGGAGAAAATCAACACAATTACACTTGATATAGAAACTCTGGAAGAGGTGGAAACTTTCACACATCTGAGAAGCATCATCGATGAACAAGGAGGATCTGATGCAGACGTAAACGCAAGGATTGGCGAAGTAAGGGTGGCATTCCCACAACCGAATGACACATAAAACTCGAAACATTTGTCAACCAACATCATTGTCAGAATAATGGATACGAACGTCGAGACAGTTCTACTGTATAGAGCTAGAACTTGGAGAACTGCCACAGCCCTCATCAAAAGAGTACAAGTATTTATAAACAATTGTCTACGTAAGGTACTCAATATCCATTGACCAAAAACTTCCAGCAAAAATCCTACTATGGAAGAGAACAATCCAGCCTCTAGCTGAAGATGAATATAGGAAAGGAAGCTGGGATTGGGTAGGACATATATTTCTTAAATCATCAAACTGAATCGCGAAGCAAGTGCTAACTTGGAATCTTGGAAGGAAGCAGGATAGAGGAAGGCCGAAAAACACACTGCATCGCGAATTGGAAGCAGACATGAATGAGATGTGAAGCAACTGGAACGAACTTGAAAGGATTGCGCAGAACGAAGTGGAATGATGAATGCTGACGAGCGGCCTGTGCTTCTCCACGAGGGGTAACAGGCGTCGTAAGTAAGTATCGATTGCAAAGAACGGATGTAATGGTATGTTTGTACTAATACACATGTCACCATTGTCATTCAAATAAATGCAATCTATGTCGTCTGTTCTGCTACTTTATTAGCCGCAGCTATGATTAAAGGATATGATAGTATCATAACGTTCTTTTAGGCCATCCCACACTACGTCAGCGTTTCGGCCTGGGTTATTGTTAAGTAAAACGGCCGGATTTTATCCTCTTCAAAACTCCGTTTGTCCCACTGCATTCAGAGGAACTTGTAGAATTATGGTCTACTATGATATTGTACTGCTCTAATAATAGACCTAATCCTAAATTTGTGTATTTGTCATGATATAACTGCCTAATCTATAAGATCTTACGTGGAAGTCACACCATCGACTACACCAACTCACTGTATAGTATCAATTACCAATAAATGATGTAGAACAAGGTTAGGCTAGAGAAAGAACAATACATTTAATATGAATAGAAGATATAACGTAACATTCGGCAGAGACCACGCCTGCATGGCCAAGCCATGCCACTCGATCAAACCTAGTCCATTCAATTCATTGTTCGCGCCTTCTCCATTGTTAGGTATTCTCCGCGTTAAATATTGAATATCTATTTTCTGATTAGTCTCGTGTTCACAGCTTTGTTGATTGTGTGGCTTTGTCCAATGCCACTACAAACTTTCGTTAATGAGGCGAAATCATTTGTGGTTGTTATTTCAGAAGGCGCTTAAAAGTAACATTCATTTCATAACAATTGTGATCATTTTGTCGTAAGTGCTATCTGTCACCATTTTGCTTTACTCACAAACAGACGTTCCGGTTTGTAGTGCTAATATCATTTGGTATATCATTAGTAGCTGTGCATATTGTTATATCTTGAATAAATTACTTTACTGGAATCTACCACAGTTATACCACATATTCACGTCTTTTATTATATGAGCCAATCAGATCTTTGTGTTAATGGAGGGGCATGCATCACTCAAGCTACTGGCTATCGGAGGAGTTTTCCTGCCTTTATGTAACCCTCGTGCTATTGATAGAAGAAACCAACAAGTAGTGAATAGGTCTTTATTTAGATCTTTGCGCAGTCACAGTGGAACGTGGGATTACCTGTTCAGACAAACAAAGCCTCTCAACATTCAATATAAGATAATAGAAAATATAATGCCTATACAAAATAAGGAAGTGAATGGATACTTGAACTATACTGTTTTGGCATATGCCTGGTTGTTTGAGATCAATTCTTAACCAACCAACCTAAGCTGTTACATTAGCTTGCCCCTAAAATCGACTTCCGTAGGAACGTCGGTTCGATTAACCTATCTATCAAAAACACCTTAGTTCTGTTTTCTAGCCCAAGGGAACATTATAAACTCGCTCACTGTTTGACTTCTAATCGATGACGAATAACTCCGTCAGCAATCAACGATAGTCCATGGATGTCTATACATTTGCTAACTTGTCATCTTATTATGTAGCATGTGATTTCTTCTACAACTATCGCTGACGTTTTGCTATGTGCTCGCAAGAGAAAGTGTGAGAATGGGAAACAAGAATATCTGAGGAAGTGCCGCGAGCAGGCTACCCAACACCATGTCGGTGAGGCACGATTTTTCCATGCTCAGACCGGCTATCAGGTGTTTACTCACTAGCCTCTTGAGTCCCCTCAAGTAAAAGGTAAAGAAGAATCTACATCAAAGGTAGTGGTGAAAACTAATCAAACCTAAAGAACTGCTCCACTGCCTGCATAAACTAATAAGATACAAAATGGAAATACATAAATATAATTGATAGTTGTTCGGTTCCACGTAAGTAATTGGCCTCTAGAACGGGTCGATATTCTGGTTGCTTTTCGAATTCGCTGTTATTGCCAGGGTTGGTTGCATGACTTTGATTAATATCACTCAGTCATCGTTATGGAATACCAAGCTTATGTATCCAACATTTTTTAAAAATAACATAACACTTATCAAAAGTAAAATGTCTGTGGTTAGATTTTATTCTGAAGCCGAAGCTGTCAATATCCTTGACTGACTAATCGAGTGTGCTCAGCTAACCGTTTTAATCACTTGTAAAGATTAATCATTTTTACATGTCGATTCCGTAATTGTTTTGTCAGTGCTTACGGAGTCGATGTTTCGATGTTTTTCTATCATGAAATATTTACATTTTCTTGAGACAACTTTGAAAGGACCTACAAATGGAGGGCTAAGTGGTGCTTTTATTTTGTTACATCCTATCCAGACGTGCGTGCAATTGCATAGGCTTTAGGTACATATCTGGCGCGCGATTGTTCACGAGTATTAATTGGCTTAAGTTTGGACATATGATCCCGTAGTTGAGCTACGTAATTTTCTAAGTTAAGTTTTTGACTGTTAGTATTAGGGTAACCAGTTAACCAGTTCCGCAGCTGAACACTGTGCGTCAGTTTTGCAAGATGTTCGTATTCCCAACATAACTAACGGTAGGAATTCTGTCCACTGGTTGGGGTTTGTGTGAGATATATGGGCGATTTTTAGCTGACGGTGAAAACGTTCTACAATCCCATTAGCCTGAGGATGATATGCAGTGCAGCGTATCCTATTGGAGCCTAGAAGTTTAGCCAAGTTATTAAATAGTTCGGATTCGAATTGCGCTCCTCTATCAGTCGTTATTGTTATGGGAGTACCAAAAATGGTTACCCAGTTCTGCAACCTGTTATTGTTTCAACTTCTCTAAAGCATTTGATATAATGCTGGCTTACAAAAATCATAGAAAGTTAATGAAGATTGTTTTGAGTAACCCTTTTCAATTTGGGCTCCATTTAAAAGTAAATAGGGTGCACATGAACCGGAGGGTCTTGACATGAAGAGTTTCAAAGAATTAACTCTCCTGTTCTTCACAAACAACCTTCTAGATAAAATTATTCCAACTGCATTAATTTTCTCAGACGCGGTGAGAATGTAGAGGTCAATAGAGTGTGATAAGGAATAAATCGGGCTTCAAAAGGAGTACATAGCAATATAAATGTGGGCAGTAGATATAGGATTAGAATTTAACCTGTTTAGATGTCATGAAAATTCTGCCCGGTAGGATACAAAAATCTCGCGTTCACCGTGAAAACTATTCTCCAATTGTTTGCTCAGAATGCAGTCCAGACTCGATAGCTACGAAGAGCTTGAACACTTGCTCAGATTATGTTAGTGATGCAGCCAATGCAGATTTAACTCCTTATTTCGTGTAAAGACAAGTAGATACAATCACCTGAGAGATATTTCGGACACTCCTTGAAACATACAGCCTCACATTATAGTATATATTGTTGTTGTGCTCACCTTCTTAAAGGTAGACGTGAATCTATCGGACAGTGTATAGAGATGGGCAAATGAGTGCGTAAGCCTACTAAACAAATCTTACATAGAGACTCAAAAGCTGGTGTTTATTCTCCTTGTGCTATAGGAGACTAAGAATTAATCTGAAAACATCATTCAACCGAATAAGTATGCCAAATCACTCAAACACGAATACAATGCCAGGACATCAAAATCACATTTCTCTAGGTAGGTACTGGAAAATTACACATCAAAGAGCAAAAGTAAGGGCACGCTCTTACTTCTCATTAAGAGTTCCTCCTATTCGAAATGCTCTTCCGGCCGTAGTGTTCAGAGCCTCTTCATCGGTTGGCTTCAAGATAAGACTTGACGAATACCTAACAATTCATGGATTGTTATCTCCTGCTTGGATTAACTGCACACATTTCGCAACCTAATAAGTGCTAACATCACCATCACACGTCATGAACTTGCTCTTGTTTATTTCCATATTTATCCAGTCTCGTCACACTGTCTGGAGTGCCAACCAGTTGAATTATTCATTTACTACACTAAGCATTCGAATTTTCACTTTATTGTTTTACTCCGAAACCAGCCAAATAACCTCCTGTCTGTTAACGTGATAGTTTCTAGTATCCATAAACCTTGATGTCCTAAGAAAAAACCACTCCCTTCAGAATACACGGTACACAAACCCACAACTAACTACTAAACTTACCAGAAGTATTGAAGTCGATTGGATAGACTACTAGACATAACCGAATACCTGGAACAGTACAAAACAGCGATGTTGGATATACTAGATACTGTCACAGATTTTTGGACATTGATGAGTTGGCAATTTCAGTTTCTAGGATGAATAAAAAACAAATAGAGAATTTAGTTTATGTTTCAAGAAGTGACTCTAGTGCTTTTCAGACATCAACAGACTAAATAAATACACAAACACCAGAGACCAGTATTGGGGTACACGCATTCAAGCACTTCATATACGCAATGCCCTTTGTCGAATAGTTCACTCAAGGTCATGGGAGGAGAGCGCGGTCAGGCTTAAAGGTTGGTTGTCCATGTTCAGTAATTTAGAGTTTTAAATTTTCCATTCCTTCAGTACAATCAGGCATGTTTTCGAAGTCGTAAGATCACAAGAGCCCTGGTAATCCTTGAGTTTTGTGTTCAACTTCAATCAGGAAACGAGATGCTTTTCTGGCGGCTCTTATTAGGGTGAACAGGTCATTTTCTTTGCTCATTCATTATAAAAGTCCTTTCACTGTTCAGTTCCACAATCTTCATTAATACTTTATCATGGGCGAGTTTAGGAGATTTTTAGGGACACAAGATTGTCATCATTTTATACGTGTATTATATAGGTTCCATTAATGGAACCTATACTACAATTGTAGTACACGAAAAAAAAAACAGTTAAGATTATGGCCTTCAGATCATGTAAATAATCCGTTCTCATTTTGCGACGTAGTTTAAGCTCTCATTTTCTGTAAATATGAAGTACATGCCTACACACGTATAACGACACAATAATCTTAGTTCTCTTTTTTTATCATATTACTGTCCTCTTCCACGGTATCTTAAGTCGGAAATTATTTGAATACGCTATCTAATAGACCACCTAAAGCTAATTTAAGACGTAGTAGTTTATCCCAAAGTTTTCTCATCGTTCACTGTTCTGTCAACAAATACGCTCGAAAGAGTTCATGATCACACAATGAACTATATTGCCAGCACGACATAAGCTTGTAATAAGTCGTGTTTATATTTATTAGCTTCTCTAAAAAGTTTCAAAAATAACGAGTCGTCGTTTTTAGGCCCTATTTGTTTTGGTCTGCTCAAACAAGATTGTCATGGGTTGAAATAATTATCCCTTCTAGGATCACTGCCGGTCCCGCTGCTGGTAAAGGATTGAGCATGGGATTCGGGACCCATATGTTGTGTAATGAACCGCTTATAAATACGCTTAACAGAAAAACTATAAACCATTTGAACTCTGTCCTCAGAGTTGAAGTGTTTCCTTATATAAGGGTTATGACGCCTCATAGTTAAAGTCAGGATCGTTCAGCATAAAATGTATTAGACACCTATGTCTAAGTACAAATGTACGCAAACAGTGGAAGGGCATGATATACTACTTATATTATTGCGTACAAACAACTCCGGACATAAATTTGATTGGAAATATGTCAGCGATCTGGGTCTGAGAAATCCGGGAAATATCAGAGAACTTGTAGAACCTTGACATTCAGGTCGTTCTGTAATCAACAGACATTTCTATAAGTTCAACCTATTAATCTGTTCGGAAAGAGCCGACCATTCACTCGGTCATTAGTGGACTGAAGAAAGGAGCTAACAGGAAATGGACGCATAAAGATGAAAACCGTGATGACAACCAGTCAGAGACAATTTCACCAGAACAGACAGACAGAATACTTGTGAAATAATGGAAATGCTCATTTCTGTTTAAAGTAGGCACTGATGGTATACGAAACGATGACAGTCTGCGGCTAGGCTGTCCAGCTTATCGGATTGAAAGTTGCCAAAAGCACTCATCTGAAGTATAAGTCTTCTTCATTTCGTGGAATCATTTTGTGACGTGATTTTGTTATCCTATCAGTAATCCTGATTGTGCTCGTGGTTGTCACTCGTCTAGTAATCATAGGTCGATTTACTTTCCTAAAAATCGAAAACAATCAGTAATTGAGATAATTTTGCAGAATGATACCAAATTACTAAACCAAAGCTAAACCATCTCTACCTTAAATAACTCAACAATACCAAAAGTTAATCTAGTTCTCAAATATGCTAACCTCCTACGTAAGCTAAATATGTACAAATCATTTATAATTTTAGTGCGAAATACTTTTCATTTTTTAAATAGATTCAGGTGTCGAAATTATCTTTTCTGTAGAAAATGGCAACAAGTAAAGTCTATTTCCGACGAAACAGACCTGGTACTAAGGCCGAGGTACGACCAGTCCTAATAATTTCTTTACCGTAACCTTTTAGGAGTGGTGTAATTGGCCCGATGAACCGTTCGAAGATATGGAAAGTACATTAGCTGTTCAGCAGGTATTTCTCCAGTTTCTAGTAAAATCTTACATTTATAGTACATACAGCAAACAATAAGACGTGATTTTAACAATGTGGATGAGATTTTAACTGCTCCAGAGGGTCAAGATGAAGTAGTCTGGAAGTACGAACATTTGAGACAATTCTGTATGGAACTAAATGGATTAGCCGTTTGTTTGCAAGAGCAATGTACCCCAAAAACATGTCCTCAGATGACTGCTACTGAACAATGGATATTTTTGTGTGCAGCACATAAGACTCCTAAAGAGGTATTAATTTTTCCATGTGAACTTCAATTCTGACACCAATAAGTTTTTTTAAAAATTATATTTGCTAATCAAATTTTGTAGTACATTTTACCTTAGGTTAATAGCGCACTGTTTACAACTTATATCATACAGCATGATTCAGTTCATTTAAATTATTGTTGCGAACAGATAAGTGTTTATTATCTATTTGACAACTTGTGTTTATCAGATGACATTTTCAAAATAAAATTTAAACTATTGGTTGTTTTTTATTTGTTTTTGATAGTGTCCAGCTGTTGATTATACACGACATACGCTTGATGGAGCTGCTTGCCTGTTGAATAGCAGTAAATACTTCCCTAGTCGGTAATTAACTTATAGTGCTTGTCTTTTTTAACCGTTATAGAGTAAGCATCAAAGTTACGTCAGTCAATCGTCTTGATTCTGTTTGCCGTCGTGTTTATAGAATATTCTCTCATGCTTATTATCATCATCGAGAGATATTTGATTCTTTTGAAGTAAGTAAACCTTATCTCGTTAATTTATTGCACACTTCTTTTCACTGATTTGTGTGTTTTTTTATAATTAATCGTTTTACACTGAAATCACGAAACACTACTGAGTAATAACTCATATTTCCGATTTTTAATTATCTCACATCTAGTTAGATCTCTTCTAGTGCTAGAAATTTACTTGGAATGTTGATTAGCAGCTTGGTTACTATAGGGCTAGAATTTTAATTTTAACAGATTGTATGGGTAACATTGTTCTTAATAAGTAATTAACATTTCCGTATGACCTGTTCACTTGCACCAGCCTATTTATTTAAAGCCACTGACTTGACAACTCTGTTATGAAAGGCCTAATGAGATGATAAACGCCTAGTTAATCCTTTCTCATCAAGTTGGGATTCGTACCCTCTATTTTCAGTGGTCAGTAGTCATATTTCTGAATTATTTGTATAGTTTGTCTGTATATAACGAAGCACCAATTTTCCTTTTGCTTATGGATTCACCTTGTTGAATAATGTCAAGAACCACCGATCCCAAGCAATAGCATTTTTGTGATTGTTTCACATTTGTAAAGTCATTTGAAAACTGAAGTTTTGTCCACCCTTGTTTAACACAAGATAATACAGCAACATCCATAATGAACGACGTACAGAACTGTGACATCTCGTGACGAGCACTCCTAGTAAACAACTAGTTCCAAACGTATTGTTTGATTCAATTGTACGATGTGCATCCATAAAAATTAGACCGATAGATTAGTACTTTAACAACTTTAATATCCTTTGTCGTGTTTTATTTATTTAAATACATAAATATTAATACAAAGAGGCACCAAATACATATGCGCCACATAAATTATTCGATTTGTGTGAGGGCTGAGATTCTGCCCGGGTGCCAAAACCAAAACAGGTGGTTTTCCTAAGGGTTCACACCACGAACCTTTGGCCTAAAGGTCTAATCTACAAGGCAGTGGAGCAACGTAAGGAGATGCCGTTCCATATAGCCGGTGACCAACAATAGGTTCATATGCCATTTGTTCCCTCAAAATCCTGGGGACCATGTCCACGATTGGTATGGAATCAGGGTTTTCCAACACTCCTAGGTGGACTCTCCCTATCCACCTATCCGGTTAAAGTGCCAGACATTCGCTTTTCGTCCTCTCAATTTCGTAAACAACACTCTTGGTACGAGAAGGCAGTGATTAGGACTTCCCTGGTAGTGGTTGTATGCATGTGGCCATGTAAAGGCATTTGGAGAAGGAGAGATGACTCTCCCCACTCTCGACCGTACCAGGGCATTTGGAGGCCCTTTGTTGTTTAGTGATTGTTTGTGATTAATGGTGAATTACATTATAAAATGTTTCATACATTTTAATTTGAGAGTTTTCTGGTTCTCTTTTATTATTTAATCAGGAATCAACTGCATTATGTCGAAGGTTTACAACATTTGTGTTAAAATACAATCTTATGAGTAAAGATAACCTGATTGTACCTATTGCCGGTGCTGTAGATGGGGCTGTAATCGAGGCTCAAATATAAGTTCATAATGTTTATGTTTAATATACATTATTATTATTATTATCTTTTACAATTTAGGCCTAACTTTTCTTTAATCATATGAAAAAACCTATGTCTAACTTCATTCATAAATAACAAGTATTTTTTTGTTTCCTACCTGTATTATTGTACAAATATGGTAACATTCTATTCTATCATAATAAAAAAATTATTTCAGAAAATCAAGTTGTTTTATTTACAATGTTTGTTTTGTTGATTTACTTATACCTTTTATAGCTTGAAAAATCCATATATCTTTTTTTTATCTCTAAGTAACAAATATTAAACTAATGTTAATTAAAAAAAGATGGATAGTGGCTAGTAATGGAATCCAGGAAGCGCGTTTCGTTCTATTTGGGGCTCGTCAGCTGGATGAGACTGATCAATTACAGTTTATTTATTTATTTATTTTAACACATAGATATTGGTACAAGGAGGCACCAAATACATATGCGCCACACAAATCTCATTCGATATCTGTGAGGGCTGTGATGCTGCCCGGGTGCCCAAACCAAAGCAGGTGGTTCTCTTAGGGGGCCACACCCGTAGCCTTCGACATGAAGGTCTGATCCACAAAGCAGTGGAGCGTCGTAAGGAGATATAGTCCTATGGAAGCCGGTGACCAGTGAGTGGTCCGTACGCCATTTGTTCCCTCAGGACCCTGGGGCTCATGTCCACGATTGGTATGGAATGAGGGTTTTCCAACACTCCTAGGTGGACTCTCCGTGTCCACCAACCCGGTTAAAGTGCCAGACATTCGCTTTTCGTCCTCTCAATTTCGTAAACAATACCCGTAGTGCAGGAAGGCAGTGAGTAGGACTTCCCTGGTAGAGGCTATATACGCGTAGCCATTTGAGAGCATTTGGAGAGGGAGAGCTGATTTTCCCTACTCTCGGCGGTACCAGGACATTTGGGGGCGATCAATTACGGTCTTAAATGACAATAGGAAGATACAAGTAAAAAAACAACAAGTGAATGTTAATTACATTTTACCTTATGTTAACAACTGAATAATAATGAAGTGACTAAATTAGAGATTACAATTTTAAACCATCAGCCAATAAGGTTGAAATTTCTATATTTCAAGTTTTAATTTATCCCACTATATGGTCTAAATAATCGTATTAAATAATTTATTCATTTTGACACTGAGGGGGGTAAGACAAAATTCTTCAACCTTTTTCTCATTGTATTTTTAAGTTGTGTAAAAAATCTAGAACATCTTATTTTTTATTGAAGAAATAGAACTATCCCGCTCTCCTATGAAACGGAATTGAGCTATATCGCTCGGGTTATAGAGTTTTAGCCTGGATGGTGTTTGGTTCTCATGGAAACGGGGTTGAGCCGTAGTTTTTGGGCTACAAATTTTAATCTTGGACGGTGTCCAACTCTCCTGTTAAACAGGACTGTGCTGTACTGTTTGGGTTGTCACGAGAAAGTCTGGATGGTGTCTAGTTCTCCTGAAAACCGATGTAAAATTATGTTGACCCACAAGGGTATATTAAATAACTATGATATTTATTGGGGTGTGGCCCCCTAAGAAAACCACCTGTTTCGGTTTGGGCACCCAGGTAGTATCCCATCCCTCACATGAGTCGAATGATTTATGTGGAGCATATCTGTTTGGTGCCTCCTTGTATCAGTGTTTATGTGTCTAAATAATAATAATATCATTCAATTCAGTCGAACTGCATCCTCCACGCTCTCCCTTTGGCAATGACATCAAATGTAGTGAATGAGGAACTCAGGTGGAGAAGACTAGTTTATTGTTTAGGGCAAAGTCACAGAGTGCCTTGGTGAAATATGAAAACCATACATTAAATACATCGCTTGTACATCCTCCACCAGTTATCTCTTACAAACTTCGTCATACCTTCATTTCTGTTGTTACTTTGGTCGCTTTCGCTTCTCTTTCTTTTTATTTCAATTTCCTCAGTCTTCTGCTCACAGGCATTTCCCTTCCAACTTTTTTTTACTATTTATATCTGCCAACATAAATAGCATATACCACACTCATCCTCTTTAAATTTTCATTCCTGCGGTCCTACCCGCCGTCACACTCTCCTTTGCCGCAGTCTCTGCCACCATCGCTAGGTTTAAATATTTTATGAAAAACTTATAGAATACTGATATATTTAAGTGGTTTTAACTTGGTGAAGTAGCATACTATTCATAATCAAGTGAAACATATCAATTGAGAATGGGCAATGGATTTAACAATAGTACACGAGATTAGAGGTAAAAACGAATGATAATTTGTAATATCTTATTGCAAGATAAACAATAAATAGAACTATCCTACAGGGATAAATTCTGCATAATCTCACGTAATGTTTTAACTCATCTATCAATATCGCACCAAGGAAAATGAGCGATAAACTTACACCCAGTTCATAGGAGACAGTAGTTTCATAGGATAATGACATTTCAACACTGTCTGTTCTGTTAGCTAGATCGTCTAATTATGGAGCTTTCATTGTTGTTTTGAACCACATTAGCCCATACTTCATGCATATATGAGCCTTCCAGTCAAATCAGTTCGTTCTAATTATCCTCTGTAAGGTTGTTTTTTTCTTAGGTTTTATTCCGTAGTATATGTGAAAAATAACCTTGAAACCCATCGAAATCAATGTCACTTATAAAACCAACGCAATCACTTCATTCCATTCTATTTAGGCTGAAGATATATAACCAATAAGAAACAAAATATGTCTTCATCTACAAATAAGTTACACCAAATGCTAAATGTGTGAAAGACTTCTTCATTTGTTCATAAATTAAGATGGATTAGGGCTGGGATGACATTGTATGTTGTCACTAATGTAACTGGATGTAAAAAACTGTGGGCATGAATTTAGTTGGGAAAAATCAAAATTCTGGATCAGGAAACTTTTAAGAAGGTAGGGTGATTTCTAGAAACGTGGGATCCAGATAAATAGACAATCAGTAAACACATTAACATAGAGCCAATCTCTCAATCCATACAGGAGAGGTCAGTCAATTACGTGACTTGATATCAACGGGAAAAACGGCGAAAATGAAAGTACAAATGGTAACAAAGATGGCCATTAGAACAAACTTATCTAATGCTTGTGGAATGACTGAAAATGTTAGTTCTATATAAATTATTATTTGGCGATATCGTGTAGAGTAACACTGGAACTTTCACAATCAAGTCATCTAGCTAATACGACACAACACTTCTAAAAGTATCTACCCGAGAAGCAAATCTTCATTATTTCAAGATACAATCTTGTGCTAGAAATCGGTATTATGAAGCAGTTAATATGCGTATCTGATGCTTTTAATGATTTGTGGAGAAAGAAAAATTTATTCTCGCAATAAAGAGATAGGCTTGTTTTTTATGTCATGGAGTGATCTCTATGTTTCTGTATATTATATATTCTAATGAATCGCAGTAGACTGAAAGTAAATAAGGCAACACTAGTGCTAATAATCTGTTAAATAACTTAATTATAGGAATTATTGATCCATGCAAAGCTCAAATTGAAGGTTAAGCAAAGAACCTTTGTGTAACAGTAAGAGTTTATCAAGAAGTCTACAATTAATTTACCTTGAACTTTTTCAACCAAACAACAAGCTTATCTGATAACAAAACTTTAAGTTTGAGTTTATCCACCAGGAGTTTAATCTGATCTATATGAGCGTACTCATATTAATAAGGTTCATTTTGTTTCGAATCGGATTAAACAGAGTAAAACAAATGGTTATTTATTTATTTATTTAAACACATAAACATTGGTACAAGAAGGCAACAAATACATATGCGCCACATAAATCATTCGATTTGTGTGGGGTCTGGGATGTTGACTGGGTGCCCAGACCGAAGCAGGTGGTTTTCTTACGGGTCAAACCTCGAGCCTTTGACCTAAATGTCTAATCCACAAGGCAGTGGAGCAACATTAGGCAATACAGTTCCATGGTAGCCGGTGACCAATGAGTGGTCCGTACGCCATTTGTTCCCTCAAAATCCTGGAGCCCTTGTGCACCACTGGTTTGGAATCAGGGTTTTCCAACTCCTCTAGGTGGATCCTCCATATCCACCAACCCGATTAAAGCGTTGGACATTCGCTTTTCGTTCTCTCAACTTCGTAAACAACACCCTTGGTGCGAGAAGGCAGTGATTAGGACTTCCCTGGTAGTGGTTGTATGCAAATAGTCATATGAGAGCATTTGGAGAGGGAGAGCTGACTCTCCCCACTCTCGGCCATACCAGGGCATCTGGGGGCAGTTATCAGTAATAATGCTGATTACCAGTAATTATCAGCATTATCACTGATAATAAGGTAGATTCATTTCTTTATCATCTATAATTTTGTTTTTTCATTGTCTAGTATTGTCAATAATACAAAATATGAAGATTGTTTCACGATATAAATATCTATTTTGTATAAATCAAATTATACCACAATATCATCGTATATTCTATTCAACTCAAACAACAAGAATAACAAATTATATACCTTTAATTGGATTAGAAATTCATGCTCAATTATCTGTACATAATAAATTATTTACATATGTACCATATAGTTTTGGAGCTCCTCCTAATACACAATTAGGTTTACATGATGTTGCAATCCCTGGTAGTATGCCGGTAAGTGAAACTGTTGAACTTATTATGTATTGAAGTATATATATATCTTGTAGTCTATTTTAAGTGTATTTAATAGTTCCGGCTTTAAAATATCACAGGAAACATGTGGGTATAAATTGTCGATATCTAACATTTACTTCTTGTTGTTGTTATACCAATTTTTATTTAAAGATATGAAATTGTGAAAGGATTTTATTACTAGTAACTTCCCACGTTTATATTTGTTGATTTCAGAAGGATTTATTTCTGGATATTATAATAATTTTAATAGTTGAAATCATGAGTCAATTGAAGCTAGACCATCATGGAAAACCTGGAAGCATCAGACGTCCGTTTCGACCTAGTATGGGACTCCTCACCAGTGCACATCCACGATCCCGCCTCTCCAGATTCGAACCCAGGATCTACCGGTGGATGTGTCGCGCTAGACTGATAAGTCCTTGGTTCGAATCTCGGGGGGGGGCGAGGTCGTGGATGCGCGCTGCTGAGGAGCCCCAAAATAGGACGAAACGACCGTCCAATGCTTCCAGGTTTTCCATGGTGGTCTAGCTTCAATTGACTCAT